TATGGCGTTCAGGACTTCGACTTTTGTCAGAGGGCTTGTGCTCACTGATAGTTCTGTGGCTGGGCTGCTGGTGGTATTTCTGGACGAAGTGCAGGTGGTGGTGGTGGTCGATTCAAGAGCTTTTCGAAGTGGTCAGCCTATTGTTTCCTTTGTTTCTCTTCTTTGGCAACTAGGCTTCCTTCATTATCTTTCCTTGGTTTCGTCTGCGTTGATCTCTTCCCAGGTAGTAACCTGGTCATTTGATACAATATTGTCAGGTCTCTGTCTCTCCTGCCAGCTTCACTTGCTGATGTGCCTCTTGTCCTTGCGCCCACTCTTCTTCACTTCTTTGTCCAGTGTTGTGTAGGTTGTATTCAGTTCTTTTCTTTATTCATCCTTGCACTGATTCATCTTCTGCCTCACCATCTTCCTCTCTCTCCTCTTTCAGCTTCCATGTGTCCGTCGAGATTCATTCTTTGTCTTGCCTCTTCCTCTTCCTTCCTAACACGGCTATGCAGGTTTCTTTTCACATCTCTTTCAAAGAGTTCCAGTGTTCTTCCACTAAAGTTTCTTCAAGGATGTTGCTCAGTGTCTCCCATTTTGTTCTGATGGCTGATGTGAAGACGTCCTTTGTAGTTTCGTCCTTCAGTTTCTGTTTTGCGTGTTGAACTTGAACTGTGGTCTGCCACCAACTTCCTTGAAGGCTCTCGACTTGATTTTGAAGGCAGGTTCCTTGCACTAGATGGTAAGTGGTGTGAACATACATCTGCTCCCCTTCTTTATCTTATCTCATCTTGTGTCCAGTAGGCTGGCTGTGTCTCCACTTTCTTCACATTGAGATGAAGTCGATCTGATTTTTAGTGTGTCCTTGTGTCTGGTGAAATCCATCTCACTCGCTTTGCGAATAACCTGTTTATACACTGCCTCAAATCACCAAATCGTTGAATGCGCAGGAACCCGCAAACAGTTCTACATTCTCATTCATTTCACCGAGTGCTTCTCGACTCATGATGAGTTCTGTCCCTGTGTTGTCCCTTCCGAGTCTGGCATTCATGTCACCCATTAGAATTTTGGTATCGCCAACTGGGACAGGTTCTTGTCCAATACTGATTGCAGTTGTCGATAGAATTCCCCCTTCTTCCCTTCATCTGCATTATTTGTTGGCGCGTAACACTGTATGACTGTGACTTTCCTACCTTTTGAGTTGAACCTTGCTGTTATGATCCTGGAGGAGATTGGTTCCCACCGTATTAGAGCCTTCGATGTTCTTGGGGAAATCATTATGCTAGTGGTTGTCTTCTGGGTGACAATATCAGAGTAGATTATTAACTGTCCAGTTAACAGTTCGGAGAGTTTACCTCCATTCCACTCCATTCGCCTTCACAGATTCCAAGCACTTCCATGCCATATCTCCTGATCTCTTTCGCAATCTTGGCAGCCACGGTGGGTTAATACATGGTGTGGACATTCCATGTTTCCATCCTTACCTTCGCTTTCATCGAGAGAAGACACATCGGCCGACTGGCCTCCCGAAGGCTTTCACCAACCGAAGTCATTTCTTCTCTCCGATTCCAGAGAGGAATAAGTGTCTTCATTTTTTATAACTTCTTTTTGCTTCAAAGTTGTTTTTAACGGTTAGATTGATTTTGTGGGGGTAAGGTTGCTAGCCCTATGCCCAACCTTTCCTCTTTACCCGGGCCCAGGACCGTCTGGCTACTGGTGAACTAGTCAACAAGGAGAGGTTATTAATTATAATAGAAGAGTTAAATTAAGTGAAGTAGCCTCCTGAAGGATTTCAGCACACATCATTCATTATTATATTCCGCTTCATGACTCCGTTCTCTATAACTTTACATTTACTATGCAGCCGAGACGTTTGACTTGCTCCCTTCATAATCAGTACAAAAAAATTAATACCTATTTGACAGAACTCATCACTTTCGTGGTGTAAGTGTGCGCAACAGTATTAGTTCCGGGCGCGTTCCAAAGTAAATCGGATGACGGAATAGATATCGTCTGTGTTGGACCGTAATGTTACAGACCTTATCCTAACCGACAAGCGTGAGGCTACAACCGTGATGGTATATGGCATGCACGAACAGGTGAGAGAATCCACCAGATGTGATCATTACCCCCATGACGTCAAACAGTGGATATAGCTATTGGCAAAACCGGAAGTATAAAGCTGGCCTGCGGCAGTCCGAGTAGACTGTTAGGATCTAATCGCTTACAGAGCATCTCTGTACCCACGTTGCTGGCTGTGCGCTTCGACTCTAGGGCTTCGCACACAGAGGCGCTAACAGCATAGAGTCGTGTAAAGATCAACTAAGAGATGTCATGCAATACTGCGAAGGCATACCACGGACCGCTAGACTAAAGATAGAAGACAACCCACAAGGGCACTACAAACAGTGTTATTCACTGCTGCACGTGTTCTGATCCTATTCTTGTAATGTATTTAAGAACGCCAACGACTTGTTTTGTTTGACTACGTTCAGTTAGTTTGCACAACCATATTTAAACCCTTGTTCCAATGGTGACACCACTGTTTTTCGCTTCGGTCAGAAACTAAAGTAGCCGTGAGATTAAAGGTTTGTAATTTTGTTCATATATTTTGGTGTAGAGAACAATTTTTCATACAGTTCATCTAAGATCTGAATCTGCATTCCTTGTTTGCAACCAAGTCTTTGGGATTCCGTCAGTTTCGCTTAAGATCTTGGAACTCTTGAGGTTCATACTTTCATCGCTTGCTACACGGTGATTTTGCCGTAACAACCACAGAAAACTATCCAGCGAACTCGTCTCTGTTGGCGTAAAGATAAACACTTCCGTTACATAGACATCAAGATGCCAGAAAGAGCCAGTCCAGTAGGGACTAGCAATTGGCATGCGATGCGACATTTCAGTAACCACAAAAGTCACGATACCGCACTTAACTCAGAAAATAACCTCCAGATACCCTTCTATGGCGCTGTAAGCGGGGATATGGTGTGTGTGATGCACATTTCATAATGAGTTGGACTTTCTTAACTATGAGCGTTACGCAATCTACATGATACCGATGTTCGTAATCCCAGGTACAAATACCAGAGTAACCTGGCAAAACAGCGAAGGTGCAACCCCACAGCTGATGTAGGTTTACGTCACGACGAAAGCCAACGAATAAAGGTTTAAACCTGATCACGGGGACAAACGAAGAAGCCCAGCGTAGCAGTGAGCTAGCGGAACTATTGGGCAAACGATACGACGAGCAGCCAAACACAGTAATGAATCTGCCGCCATCGTCCAGTAATGTGACGAGGTTCTAGGGTTGTAATACAAAGTTGATGGGCGTAGGGTTTTCGTTGAACCAAGTGTTTGGGAAACCTTCAAAAATCGGAATAAAAAAATCTCCGGGCTGTGTGATATAAGACCAGTGTTCCATAGAATTTCGCTGAAGTCCTAAGAAAGCATATACGCAATCTGTTCAGGCATTCACCAGAAGCAGCTCAACTCTCTGAAGAATGGAATCGCACTATCCCTTCACCAATCTTCAAGAGAGAAGAATGAGAGAAACCATGCGAATGCAGACCGACAGTGTTACTTCGTCAGTTATCCAAGGTACTTGAAAGCCCATTTGAGAATGTTGTTTGGGACTACGGAAGCTGAAACGACACCAGTTTTCCCTCCCAACACGGATTCCGAACAGGACAGTCATGTGCGATAAACATGATTACCACTTGGGATGACTGAAATTGCCACAGGTCAACTGGTCTCATAAGCAGCTCCGCTTCCCCTCAAACAAAGCAACCTACAACTTGAAAAAGAAAACCCTTACATACACAGCCACTACGTGCGAAGCTGTAAGCGGGTAAACTGCTAAGACTTCTGCTACCACCGAAGGAGTATAGCCCACCAAAAAGAACTAAGCTTCAAGTCTTGGAAGTGAGAACTTACAATCACAAGTTTCCCCTACTTGTACTGCTGGTGTGAAATTTTGATTCAGTGCAGCAATCGTAATTCCTAATAATTGTTTTATCAGAACCCCAGAGCTCTTTCTGAAGCTCTGCAAGACTTACGTACGGCCCCACTTAGAGGTCCATAACGTCTTCGCTCCACCACAGCTGAAAAGAGGAGCGAACCTACTGGATAAAGTCCAGAGGCGAGCCACAAAAGGGGTTGTTGGGATGCTACGAAAACTATATGAGGATAGATGGGCATTTAATCTCTGAGCTATCGAAATATACGCGGCGACTTAATAATGGCTCACAAAATAATGAGTAAACCGAGTCACCCAAACAGAGGAGCCCTACCGAGTGGCTACTGCGGAGATCCTCGAGGAAACCCTAATAAAATAGCCCACCAAAGGTCTAAAACGCATGTGCGTTCACATTCCTTCTCCCTCCAAGTCTGTGGGCACTGGAACGCACTACCAGCAGAGGTGGTCTCCGCCCCAACTGTTGAAAGCTTCAAGAAGAGGATAAACAGTCATGCAGACTCACGGTCTACCTACCCGTAGCTGGAACACGAGACAGTGTCAGGCCACCCCAACAAGTTTTCTTTCTATTGCAACCACTTAAGCCCTTTTCATTCCTTCCCCTTGCCATAAGTTAGCCTCACTTACCATAGTTCTTCGTACCTTTGCACCCCTACTCACCTTACTTGGGTGTAAGTAGATGATTACTCCATTAGTTCACTTCTCCTCTCTTCTTTTACTCACACAAACACTTTCTAGGTTTTCCCTTCATTATCCCTAACCTTCTCTGGCGGCCAGTCCAAACAACTGTCTGGCAACTAGACATCTGAAGAAGCCAACTGAACCACAGTCCAAGGCAGATAAACCAACACTTAACTTCCTGTTCTGTAAATCAGAGCTATAACAGATGAGTGGCTGGATCTACTGCATCGGAATCCACCAAAGATCTGGAACCATTCCACAAGATTAAGAAGCGAGAGCGAAGAAACCAACTGGTTTACACACGCTCGTTAAAAAGATATTGGATGTTGGATATTGAGACATTGGTGCATTTCCGCGCAACAATATGATTCAAGGCCGAACGATAGAGTCCACGTTTGTTAGCATTTTGTTATTTTGCTCACATGCTCTTCAGTTCATGTTTGCGAATTTGAACTGTCACGATACTCGTAATTTAAAGTGCTTATGAAATTGTAAACTTGTATTTGATCAGGCCCCACTTAATAGTTCTGCAGACAATATTCGAATACTGAATTGGTCGGTTCGATACTTGCCAGCGCTCTAAAAGCGGAATAATTTTAATATCACCCTTATTAGACCATCACATAATTTATCATTTGAAATCCCATTATGGGTATCGGATACGTAGGAGAATTCCAACCGCAGGGTAGACTTTACTTCCCACATTTGCCGAATCTCGGGGCCGTAGGGATTAACTGCATTGAGAACGTTAGAAAAAAAAACAGAGTTTGTAACATTTCCTCCCCTGTTCACTGAGCACTGCGTTTCACCCCTCTTTTTGACATTTCGTCTTGCGTCTCCTCTACCTACCCTTTGTTCTTTATTGGTCTGCCCTGTGTTTTCCAGGTTATTCACGGCTTGTATAATTTGTTCTGAGTTCTACAGTCAATGCGCTTGCAATAATCATACCCGTAACGAGGCATACCTTAATAGGTAGTTGGAGTTTTACAAAGCAGTAGTTCATTTTGTATGGATACGTCCTGATATAAGCTGATTGCTTTCACCATCTGTCGGCAGCGCATTCTCTGGTGCCACATCTAACAGTCAGCACCAGATTTTGCCATAACTTTCATTTGTGCTGATTTGCTGCTGATAATAATAAGAAAAATTCCATAAGAGTTGGAAATATATTTCGGATATCAGTTTTAACAATATTTCTTTCTCTCAGAACTTCCTTACCACTTTCTCTCATCAAATCTGACAAGAATACCTTAACAATCCTTAGGCATATTGCAGTGTCTCTTGCTATTCTTAATAGTATCAACGATAAAATAATGGCTGTAAAAGATGTGTAAGTACCGACCAGTGTCCTGCAGCAAGTATATGAAAGTTGCAGAAGGTGGATAGTTCTTTCTAGACACCAGTTCTGTAGTCCTAATTGGTATATTATGAGACTCCGTATTCACCAACTTCAAGAAATCAATTACATCTCATGTCATTTTACGTAGTTTAGAATTCGCAGATGCCGCTAAACAAGTTAAACACTGTAGATAACTGCGCATGCATATGCCACAGTAAGCAGGTAGTTTACTATGTTTGTGTAGTCACACATTTGACTGCTGAAATCACAGCATGGATGTCTTGATGAGTTGTCATGCTTTTCTTTCGAATCACATCGACTATTAAAACCAACATTGAATGATAGTAGGTGGTCAGCGACAGCTGCAGCCACTCGGTTTCGCGAGTTGGAAGACTTTGAATACAGGCCCAATGCGTACTTTCCATTGGATACAGTTCATTTTTCTCAACAAATATGTATCAAGAGGAAAATTCGATTATCTTCAATGTCTCCTGACAATCTCGTTATTTGTGGTCGTTGCATTCTCGTCCAGGTCTGAAGTTCGCCTAATCTTCTTGGGGTTCTTGTTCTTAATATCCAGTTAGGCGTCGGATAACCATTGATCCTAGGACCTTGGACACAATAATAATCAAACTAATTCTCACATCGTTATCACACACTTCTCTCCCTTTTTATAATTAGGATGATCAGAGAATTAGACCAGTCTGATAGCACCACCTATACTTCTCACAATACCTAGTACCTACGTCATTTCTAGTAGCGATTTCTTACCTCCATTCTTGTAAACCTCTGATGCAACACTCTCAGGTCTTGCTGCTTTGCATAGTTTCAAGTTTGATACAGCTTCCACATCTTCAAGGGGAGTTGGATAGATGTTGGGGAACTGAAGCGTTGCTGTGGCCCAGTTGGACTATGCTGGAAAGTGTTCCACCTAACGCTTTAGCCGACTGCACTGGAAGGTTATCAGCGTTCCATCCTTTTCGTTGGTGGTTTCACTAACCATCATCTTTCTTGCCGGTATCCTTAATAACCGTAAGTAGTTGCCAAGACTCACCTACCGCTGATGCCTTCTCCATCTCTCTCGCTTTCGACACCCTTCAGTGCTGATGGTCAACGTGAAGACTCTTGGTCATTCCACGTTTGAACTGCTTCCGCTCTTCATCGTGGTTAGAGCCAGCTGGACTCAACTAACCCTGAGTTACCTTCCTCGTCGTCGTCACCACCCTATGGCGTACTGAACTTTCTATCTTGCGAACAATGCATATGGTCCGAGCCAACAGAACCATCCTCATTCCCCTAAAGCCATACATCCAACGTCCGAATAATACGCTCCGTCGGAAAACAAGTGTTTCTCGCCATGACTTTGAAGTGAGTGTGTGGTGTGTTTCTAAGACGTGCCCTACAACACCCAAATGTGGTTATTCACTTGAAGGCATCTGGCTAGCGGGATGCACTGAAAAAAAAGTGACACTTCTCGATGGCTATTCGCAATCTCCGCGTACGTGCCTACCGACTACAACGTTGAAAACATAAAAGATGAATTCTATCAAAAACTTTCAATTCGGCTGCACAAATCAAAACGTTCAGATGTTGTCATAATAGCAGGTGACTTTAACTCTCAAGTGGGAAAGTTTAGCCAGTCAGAAGATATCTTGGGGGTATCTCTGGAATCCCGTGCCAACGAACCGAAAACGGTGATAATCTGTTGCACTTTTGTTGGGACAATCACATGTTTCTGGCCAGCATTAACTTCGAGCATATAGAGACCGTCCCACTTGGCATCCACCGACATCAAACCAACGATGGACACGGATAGGTCATGTCACTATCAGCCAACGTTGGAGAAGGTCTGTGGATAACCGCTCATTTTGGAGTACCTGATTGAACACTGATATATCAGTATGTCTACGCCCTACTGTTCACCGAAAATAGGTGTTAATGAAGCATCTTGTGGTTGATTGAAAAGTGAGAAAGTGAAGTACGTATTTATGGAAGAGTATTTATCTGAACTTGAAAATAGTCATCATCCTGAGTAAACCTGTTGTTATGTTTAGCGTTTTCTAGAAACAGTGGTGTGGAATGTTTGTTACCTATATTCAAAGGTTAGCAAACGTTATTTGATTTCCGCAACCTAATGCGAAGTGACTGATGCGAAAAGACTAATTCCAGCCGGATCTGACCACAATAAACAACGAAAACAGCTCAAACGTAAATTAACTGTATCTTGTCAGTGACTGCGAGAAGTGGGGTGGGTATCGAGAGCGAGTGAGATGGTAATACTCAACAACTATTTTAGGCTTATTAATGATACCGACAAGAAGAACACGATGGTTAGTGAAACTATCACCGAAAGGAATCGGATTCTAATAACCACTCAGGACAAGCGGCTAAAACCTTAGGTGGAACACCATGATGCCCAGTTCAACTGCCCCATACCCTCACTTCTGTTTTTTAGCATCCACTCCGAACCTGAATGGGACGTACATGTCTCCTGGTAATTTCAAAATTGAAACGATTCAAAGCAGTTAGACCTAATGGTTCGCCACCGGAAGGTTTTAGGGATCGAGGTAGAAAATTATTCATTCGAAAAATTAAAGTACCAGTTAGTATGGGAATCAAGCTTGTCACGATCGTTTATTATTCCGATTTATAAAAAAGGAGAAATATCTCTTTTTGACAACCATGGAGGGACCGCTTTGCCTAACATTATGTTTAAAATCTTAATATCGATTATCATCCGACGACCAACCGGAGGTTAAGAACAATAAACTTAAAAAACTGAACAGGTTTTAAATGCAGAGAAGGCCTCAGCAATCAGAACTTTCCTATTCGATAGGCTTCGGAACACAAGCATATTTACCGGTGACCGGCACTGGTGTTATTTCTTGATCTGACTCGAACGTTTGGTTGTTGATTAGGTTTTATGGCAACATTTCACTGAAAGAGGTGCTGAGTTTGTAAATCACACTGTTTGAGGTCTGTAGTTGAACACTCTTCGGCGTGTTGGAGTCTATGGCTATGTGTCAGATGATTTTTGCTCACCGTGTCGTCTAACATGAGTTCCCACTCAATCCATTATTTAATTTCGTCGTAGATGTGCTTATAACGGTCTCCCCATCGTCGTCTGACTTTACCGGGATTGAACTTATTACAGGAGACTCTTTAGTAAATTTAGAGTATGAAGATGACATAGTCTTGTTAGTTGAGGATGCGGAGTATTCTGAACACATCTGCAAGTTTATTTTGTGTTTTCGAATCCAGTAAAAAGTAAGGATCTAACCGGAACGCTGATTGTTCTACAGCATATATACTTTGGCTAGAATTGTTATTCCTGTGATTGACTTTTGCCAACTTATGCTATCTGTGACTCCACCAGCACATCCGATTACCTATCAAGGGCCAAGTGTATTGCGCTACCATATAGCTGTGAGAAATGACCACTAAATGTGGAGTACTTGGTCAGGCTTCAAGTGTTCAACTACCGTCGCCTCCGTAGCTATGTCATTTTGCCACATGTCAGTAAAGTATAAGCTAGACGTGGAGTTTGTGACAGAAGGCAAAATGAGTTCATGAGGTTGTGAACCTTCATCAACTGACGTGGCTGGGGCATGTGTTATGCATCCCGTTGCACATCAGTGACTGATGTAGAAAGAGGTGTGGCTCGCTGGTTTGGGGAGATGACTCAACCAGTGGGTCGCGGATTCGAACCCCGCTCCACCCATCAAAGTTTGGGCAGCCAGGTAGTAGTATCGTTAGCCCTCACAGTAGGTGTGGCTCGTTGCCTACTGGGCGAATGTGCACAAGGTAGCTGAGTTCATTTTGGTTTTTCAAACATATTAGTTTAGGTTAGAAAATGGTTAGGGGCACCTAGATTTAAACATGGTATCAGTTCATGCAATCTCTGACTGTTTGTCTAAGTAGTGTTTGGAAATGTAAACTGTTCAGCTGGGGATAGCGTGACAACCAAACTTGGTGGTTGAAGACTCAGTATAATGTCTCGAAATCGATCTTAGTGTCTCCGACGCAACCAGAAATTATTTCAATTTTAATTGTCGTGTAGAATGTCTTAATTGCTTCATTCTTTCTTGTTCTCTTTCCATAACTTCTTGCCATTTCCGATTGCTTTCTTCCTTTTTCTTCTGTTTTACCTGAGCGCCTTCTACATTGATATGCTGATATTCAATCTGGCAAATTGGATAGTTGCACAGTTATGCCCAGCCCCACTGTTGAAAATGACTCACTGACTGAACGAAGATAATGTGACTTATGCCCCTGGCTTTGAAAAAAATGTCTTCATTTCTAGTTTGTAACTGTAAAACAGTAGGACATGTTTGGTGACAATACATACATTTCCCGTATATAACGTAATAAATTCAAGTCACTAGTACTTGCTACAGGTCTATTATTCCTAAATATGATTGCAGCCAGTGTGTGATAGGACAGCGACTTTTCCTACTTTAGGGATGTGAAAAACTCAAGTTTTCACAATCAGGTAGCTTAAATCCACTTTCTATTTAGACTAAAGTTAAGCATTAAATCTTATTTTACTAGTCATTGTATTAAACCTTTTCTGCGAATGGATAAAAGACATATTGATTTCAGGTTTGTATTCACAATGGATTGGGATCAGTTGCAGAAACATTATAAATCTGGGAGCACTGAACAGCTGTTTCGTCCTACTATGGGACTCCTTGGCGGTGTGCACCTATGACCCCACCAGGGACCGAACCCAGGACCCTCAGGTTTGACAACCGGCACGTTGTCAGTTAGCCAATGGGTTGAAACCCAATGGTCCATATTTCCTACTTCTGTAAGTTCACGATATAGCGTCGTTGAGTAACTGTTAACATATCCGACTTCGTTGGCTCCACCGGTCACGACTTGTCATTGGAACTTTGGGAGTCACCTCTCAAAGCTAGTCATCAATGATCTCTGCACTACTGAGGAGTCCCATACAAGATCGAAACGGGTGCCCAGTGCTCCCAGGTTTCTAACTTTTTTAGTCCATGATGAATTCCAATCTAAAATCAATAAATCTCCATAAACCTACAAATTAAAGTGACAAGTTTTTCAGTGATTTTTTACTAACTATATCTAGTTTCTATCGATTTATTTTCATGTTTACGCTTATGTTTAATACAGTGTTGTTTATACCTGTAACTTCACTTAACTCTTGTTTAACTCATTTTTTTAACTTTTAGTCGAGAGGGATTATTAACTTCAAAGTTTGCTGTACAGTCTTCACAAGACGTATATAGAATAATGGGTAAACATAAGGTCAATAAACAAAAGATTCTAAGTGTTGATGATGGTTTTAAAAATTCTGCGTGTGCAACAGAAAACTTACTTGAGCCTCTTAGATCTAAGGTTCATAAGCAACAGAATGACCCTACATCTATTAACCATACTGATCATAATCAATCTACAGACAAAATGAATGTTCTAAACCATTCCGATAAAAACCAAAAACGTAAACGAAAGCATAGTTCCTTGTATGATGCTCAAAATGAAGATACTTTAGGTGATCAGGATATATTTCAAAACATAAATGTGTTTGAATCTCAAGTTGATAAGACAGTTATCTCAAAAAAGCTGCCGAAAAGTAAAAAGCGTAAAAAACAGCACAGTTCTCAGCTCAATGTTTCAAATGAATCCACTTCTACAGAAAGTAATAGAATTGAATTGATAGATGATACAGAAATCAAACTTAAAAGCGGAAAGTTGAAACGAAAGCATAGTTCTGTAAAAAATGGTGAGGATGAAAACTCTTTTAAGGATCACAATGCTTCCAATGAATCCAGTGAAGTTAATTGTGAAGTAGAAGTTGTACCGAAAAGTAAAAAACGAAAACATAATTCTCTATTGAGAAATAAAAACCCAGATGTTACTTTAACCGAGACAGTAACCAATGAATGTAGCAAAAATAAGGCGCAAGACAATCTAGCACTCTCACACAATTATTCAAAACTCAGAAAGTTCAAACAACATGATGTACCAAAGACTGATATGCGAAAATGGTATCATGATGAGGAAATTCCTGTTGATGAGGAATATTTTACTAGTGATGAAAGCGCGAATGAAATGGATGCTTCCAAGAGTAGAAGGTTAGTCATTTCAACATACTTTAAATTTTTTTGAACTTCTCTGACTATTCCCTAGATATTACTATTTATTGACATACTTGAAATTCTCCGTTGTTTTGTTGGATCGGATTGTTCAACCTCTGTTGGCATATGGGCTCCTATGCAGGTGCCTCAATATTGTTCGAATGACGAGTCCCAAGTAGGACGAAACGCTCGTTCCAGATTCTTTTGCTAGCTACAACCAAACATTCCATGGATAGTTGCTACCTTGACGTCGTGGTAGGATTTGCATATCACAACGACCCAATGGGCTAAACTTACCGGAACTTTTGCCCCATCCCAGTAAGGTCTATTGGATAGTGGTAAGACGAGAAGCAATCATCGTCATAGTGTAAATTGATACACTATGATAGAGGGGGGATTTCGGAGGCGAAGTCGTACTGCTGACTGGATGGAGGTGTGACAGTAGTTGGTTATTTTCCTTTGATGGCCAGCAGTGCCATGCTGATGCTGTCTCCCTTGTAGGAAGGGTTATAAAAGTCGATCTCAAAAACAGCAAACTCCTCCCTACCTTGCTGTATTCCGGTGCCGGTAGCATGGGTTTTCTCTATCCGGTGTTAGCACAATCAGATTTCATTTCAAAATCTTAAAAAGGCTGTATAACCAGTTTTAATCGGACACGCCTTAGGTTCTGCAGTTATGTAAAACTAATACGTTTTCTATTTCAATTATCTTACAGAAACAACTTTCGTGATGTAAAAAACCGTAAAGTACTGAGTCCCCACACTGTCCCAGCAGTATACAAAACCCAAATAATCATAATCTAACCTTTTTGCTTTCTCTTCCTGATACAAATATTGCGCTTCATACAACTTTCTCAACCTGTAGATAATTGGCAGTACTGCACTGTTACTTCCTTTCCTATTGGAATGAAGGGGCGGTGAAGTAGGTGAGGTTGGTCCCAAAAATAACGTTTCCATCAGTTTACAGAATAGCATCCTTGGTCTCCTGCAACCGCACTCCAAATTACACATTGGAGTTTTCAATGCCCGCACCCTCCATCAAGTCGACTAATGGGCTTCACTAGCCAAAAACCTAACAACTCATGCCATAGATGTATGCTGTGTTTGTAACATACGCATATAGGACCCTAGTGCGATCATTCACTTAACCTCACCTGGCCAACTAGGTGAATTCTCAAAATTTACTCTTCGATTTTGTTATTGTTGCTAATGATTTCAATGGACAAGTGGGTAGGGTAAGTTTAACAGAAAAGTAATTTGCGGCACTTTCAGGATTCCAGCCTAACGAACAGATAACGGTGACCGCCTATTACAACTGTGCTGAGGTAACCATTTATTTCTGGTCAGCACAAACTTCAGACATAAGGAGAGATCATCTGAAATGGCTTCCACTGACATCAATTCAACGATGGGCACAGATAAATCATATTTTCATGAGTAATCCTGAAGAGTGTCGGTGGATGACTGCTACTCCCTTTAAAGCGTGTGTTTGGACAGCGATCACATGCTGGTTCTAGAGTGTGCGTGTCTACATCTGAATAAACGTAGGAACACGACCATTCCGAGTGCAGCTTGAAGATGAGAGCACTAAGGCCGCTCTCACTGAGAAACTGGCCAGACAGTTGTCGGAACGGAATAATATTCATCCAGAAGAATCTTGGTACCATCTGCACTCTGTTGTAAAAACGGCGATAAAGACTACCCGACTCAAACAGTGGTTAAAAAGAGTCAGTGGAAATCAGCTTCTTCTTCTGAATTAACAGATGCACGCAAACGAATCCCTGCAGGATCTGAGTACAATGAGAAGCGAATACAACTGAAAAGTAGAATAACAAGTAGTCTACCCAATGATAGCAAACAGTGATGGAAAACGAAGGTTAAAGAGATGGAAAAGGCAGTGGTTATATATAGCAGTAGACAGTTATTTAGACTTGTTAAAGAAACTAGGGCAAAAGAATCAATGGTTAGTGAAACGATAGAAAAGAACAATGGGTCTGTGATTCACTCTCAGGAGAGATGACTGAAATGATGAGCGGAGCACTTCAAAGAACAGTTCAATTGGCCTCCAGCTACTATTTTGTTACGTACTATACAGTCGGATCGTGAATGGAACATAAAGGTACGACAACACTTGCCGAAATCGAAAAAACTGCAGGTAGCCTGAAACAAGGAAGAGCAGCAGGGCCAGACAGACCAGTTCTAGGGGTATTTAAGGGTCATGGTCTGGGATTTTTAGTCAATTTAACTGAAGTGTTGACTAGTGTGTTGGAGTCAGATGTGACCTCCTCTGATCCTAGTCTTCAAGAAAGTCGAGAAGTCCTCCTGTGATATCCACAAAGGAATCAGCCTGTCGAACATCGTGTCCAAGATTCTAGGTCCTACAATCATAGATGTCTGAGTGGGACTTGGGAACAGCAAGTCCGAAATAACCAGGCAGGCTTCAAACCTGACCGTATATGTATCAACCAGATATCGACTCTCCACCAGCTTTTGGAATCCAGGCACCCGTTATTAGCTATATTTCTCGACCTGAAGACGGCGTTCGACTCCGTCAATCAAGAGGTCTCATATAACTGTCTGACTGAAAGGGGGGTGTCGAGTAAGTACATCACTCTTTTGAAGGTTCTTTACTCGAACATTCGTGGACATGTTAGAGCCTGTGGTGAGTTGTGTATATTGAGTGGTATCCGTCAAGGATGTTTACTCTCTCCGTTTCTGTTCAGTTTTATCATAGACGTTCTTATGGAGGTCTCCCTCTCTTTCCCTTACATCACAGGAAGTTTCTATCACAGGGGAATCCTTAGTAAATCTCGAATACACAGATAACATAGTCCTGTTATGTGAAGATGTTGGTAAGATACAGAGTCTTCTGGACACCTTGAGCGTGCAGTTTGAGAATGTTTGGGATGCGTTACTCGCGACCCAAATGCAAGTTGCTGCCCTAGAATTGGTCTTCATTGGTGCCCCGGCTAACAGTCAGAGTAAAGTGGTCGAATGCATTGAACACTTCACTTACGTGAGAGGTCGGATCAGCCCTGATGGGTCAGTGGTCGACTAAATCTTGGCACGGATACAAAAAGCTCAGTTGGCTTTCGCCAACTTACGCTACATTTGGCGCCACCTTGATATCAGATTGTCGAATAAGGGTCCAGTGTTCTGCGCTGCGGTTCGCTCTGTTCTCCTGTATAGCTATGAAACGTGGTCATTAAAGGTAGCGGATGTGAGAAGAGTTCTGGTGTCCGACCACCGTTGTCTTCGTAGAACAGGCCGTATGTCACGGTGTCACCATTTCAGTAACGCGAAAGTCTGGTATACAGCTTCAGGGAGAACAGGAAGGTCACTTGATAAGGTGAAACTTCACTGACTGAGGTAGTTGGGACAGGCGTTACACATGCCTAGTCACAACCTGCCTCGTCGCGCAACGCTAGCTCAAGTAAGTTCAGGCTGGAGAAAGGTCAGGGACGCGCAGACTAAAATATGGCGTCACTGCATAAAGTCTTTGTCTGTCAGTCTGAGCAGTGTCGAAGGATGCAGACTAGCCAGTCGGGGTCTAAGACGTGAGACTAGTCGATGAAGTCCCTGCCTATTGGTCTGAGTTGTATGTAGACACGCAGACTACTTGATTGGGGTCCCCGACACGAAAGGAATCAGTGGTTGAGGACTCTCAGTGACGTGGCTGAAAATCGGTCACAATGGCGCAGATGTATTCACTCTTTGACTTCTAAACCTTGAATATTCGCATTAACCTTCATCTTCAAATTGTTTATTCTTTCACACTACTTTACCTACTTTGATATCACTCCTTTTCTTTCCACCTGTTCTTTGTGTACTACTGTGAAGTGTGTCAACGTGAGCCGATGCACTTGTGTGCCATGTTCAACGTTGATTTTGTCAGTCAGTCAGTCAGTCAGGTCCATTTAAAAACAGAAACCAGCCGTTAGAGATTCTAGGCGATATATCTGAGAACCGATGTCATTCGTGTAGATTTATCCACGCTTTATCTTCATGTTAACCGCTATGCTGAATTCAGCACTTTCTCATTCTGCCTTCCTCCCTTTTACCACTTTCCACTGCTTCTGGGCGACCCTTCTCTTTCTCCATCTTTCATCTTAATGCTTTCTCACTTGTTGTGCTTGGTATGAGGTGTGGCGTCTTCGACCGTTACTTAGTAGTGCCTACTCCTATATTTATGTTGTTGATGATGACTCCTCGATTGAATATCAGTTAGTGGCAGTCTGTTTCCTTTTCATAAAAAACAGATCTGTAAAAAGTCGGAAGGATCGTGAGACCAGGCGATATCTATTCGTAATCTCCGCCTACGCACCCACCGGCTGCAGTTCGGATGATCTAAAGAATGGATTCTATGAAAAGCTGTCAACATTACTACAGAAAGCAAAACGTTCAGATGTAGTCATAATGGCAGGTGACTTTAACGCCCAAGTAGGGAAGCTGAGACAAACAGAAAGACATCTTGGAAGTATTTACAGAATCCCATGCCAATGAACCGACAACAGTGATAATGTGTTGCAGTTTTGTTGTGAAAATTACTTGTTTCTAACCAGCATCAACTCCAACCATATAGAGAGACACCGTTTCACAAGATATCTACCGACATTGAATCAAAGAAGGATACAGATAGAGCATATTTCTATTAGCCATCGTTAGAGGATTCTCGCTTATTCTGGAGTACCTGCTCTAACTCCGATCATGTGTCAGTATGTCTGTGTTTTACTGGTCATAGAAAGCTGTCGGTAGGAACGCATTGTGTTTTCGACTGGAAGATAAAAAAAGTGAAGTACTTATTCAGAGGCGTGCTAGCTAACTAGTTATCTGAAGCTCATCTTGAGGAAACCTGGTGTTGATATTTAGTGTGTTGTAGAAACAGGAATTAAGACAATTGGTATCGTTCGATATCCAAACTTCAGTGAATTTTCCAAACGTCATCCGAACTGATTAGCGCGTAAAGATTCATTCCAGTTGCATCTGACACTGAGAAGCAAAAGCAACTTCAAAGTAAGTTGACTAAGAGTGTTCGCAATAATCATGAGTGGTAGAAGGTGGCGAAAACGAGGAACATGGAGTCTTCATCGACATTATGTTTTTTAGGTTTATTAGTAACGCCGGCAAGAAAATAATGATGGTTAATGAAAGAATGAGACGCTGGTAGCCTTTCAGGATTTACGACTATAACATTAGGCAGAAGACTTTGAAGCGCATTTGAACTGGCCCACAGCAACACGTTAGTCGCCCTACATCCAGCCTGAACTTGAGTGGGACATAGATTTTGCTCCTGCAACTCTCGTTGAAATTGGGAAGGCTGTTTCGAAGTTGAAACTATGTAAAGCAGCAGGACTTGGTGGTTTGTCACCTAACACTTGTAAAGATGGTGGTAGGAAATTGCTAACAAAAAGTAACGGAGGTGCTAGGTTGTGTATTGGAATCAGTTGGAGGTAGCTTCGTCAGACTCGTCTACCTCTCTGATCATTCTAGTTTATAGAAAAGGAGGAAAGTCTTGTGACAGCCATAGGGAAATCGGTTTGACTATCGTGTCCAAGATCCTGGGGTCCATAGTTATCCGACGCGTAGCTTGAACTCGTGAGAACTAAGCAGGTTCCAGACCTGGACAAAGGTACATAGATCAAATCTCCACCGTTCAGCAGGTTCCAAATCAGGCTTACTTATGGGCGGCCGACACTTGTCATATTTCTATACCTGACGACGGCATTCGGCTCAGTCGACCTTGAGGTGTTTCGGTAACATCTGACTGTGAAGGGAAAGTACCTAGCAATTGTGCAACGCTTATCAAAACCCTCCACTCAGAATCATACATCTGTGTAATAGTTTATAAAGGGTTATAATTTGGATTAATGACAACTAGTGATATCCCCTACGGTTGCCCACTGTCACCGTTGCCTTTCAGCTTCGTTATATATGAAAATCGTAAGTGCATCTCACTTCACAGGAAGGCATCTAACTGGCTCGCAGTACATAGATGACATTGTCCTGGAAGAGGAAGTCGCTGATAAAATCCGGGGTCTTCTGAACGCTTTGAGCAGAAATCTGAGCACATTTGGCATGCGTTTCGCACCTGTCAAGCATAATATGATGCTCCAGGACTGGTTTACAGCTGCTTTCAGTTTGAGAATGATTAGTGAAGTGATGGAATATGTCAACCGATTCACTTACTTGGAGAGTTGCATGAGCCCGAATGAGTTGAATGCTGACGAAATCTCAGCTCATATACAGAAGGCTTGTTTGGCATTTGCTAAGCTGCGCCTACTGATGAGATATCCGACTATCTATTATATTGCACTGCAATCCGTTCTGTTCTGTTGTACAGCTGCAAGACATGGCCGTTGAAAGTAGAAGACATAAAGAAACTGCAGGTGTTCATCCACAGGTATCTTCGTGGCATTTCTCGCTTATGGGGAAATCGCCATGTGAGTAATGTCAAGGATAGGGTAAAGCAAATCAGTCAGTGAGGCTGTAAATCTTAATCGACTTAGAGATGGTCTGGACATATGTTGCGCATGCCTAGTTGGATTAGGTTGTAAGAGCGTTCAGGGTAATCAGACAGATGTGGGACCAGTCCATGAAGTCTGACTGATGGCCAGCCGTGTGGACAGATGTAGACTACCTTCTTGGGGTCCCTGTTGTAATAGAAACCAGTGGTTAAAGACTCTTCATAACATGGCTGAAAACCGGTCACAACAACGTCTTCTAATGCTTGGATGCTTAGATTAACCTTCATTTTTAAATTCACTTTCCTCCCGTACACCTTTGTCTACCTTGATATCAGTCTTTTTTATCCACTTGTTCTTTGCATGCTACTGCGAAGTGTGGCAAGTTGAACCGATGCACTTTTATGTGAGGTTCTGCATTGATTTCATCTGTCTATTTCCTGGATACTCTGTTTATTATTCTATTAAAACACAAACATGGTGTGCAGCATGAGCACCAGGGAATGCGCCACACAAAATAATGTTACATTATGAAGACATAAAGCGAAGGGAATTGGATAAAAATGAAACACAACAAGAATAGAATGGTTAGAAGGGCAGCCTAGTAAGATACATTCGAAACGAAATATTCATTACTTTTCAGCAGCAGAAGATAAGAGGAAGCTACAGCATGACCGCCACTGGTTTTGATCCTGATAACATCTCAAACCAGTGGGTTGCGTGATCTCTCGGGCCCCACCCAGTAACTTGTGATGCACCAACAGATGCTAACGCGATACAACTATTCTTCATCCCACGTCACTACGTCATACACTGACCACCCCTCCTTTTCCTCCCATCCAGTCCTAGGGTTAGCGAACAATGAACGGTATATAAGCCGTTGGGACGACATGCATAACACCTGAGGATCTTCATCATGACCAGACACGCTGTCATATCTCAACTACTTAAATGGTGTTACCACCGGATACGAGCAATCCTATAGGGACAACGAAGACCGAACACACACAATCGTCGCACATCCTCAGCTTGGAGAGGTCAGGTTTCACAGTCGTAGAGCAGAACTGCTTGCATCGAAGGATTGTAAATCTGACCTTTCATGGCCATGCCAACGGCGCCAAAGGTAGCTGACACTGACGTATGCCACTGTGGCTTTCGATATGCGGTTGAGAATTTCACCACTCATACAACTACCCAGATACACAAAAATAGTAAGAATGGCTGACTAGGCCAGTTGTTTTCTACAATTTCAGTATATGCACTAAGGATGCTTCATTGAAAACATTTTCACCACATTTGACAGTATCACTTGTACCAAAAGGGAATAAAAAATAGAACTATTCATAATTTTACGAACAGATTAGTAAACAATTTACTATCTTGCACAGAATTGTATCAGTCCATTCTGCTATACTTGCTAAGAAGGCAGAAAGACGCAGTAGTGAACAAACAGAACCTAAGTTTAAGAAACAATGGGGAATGGATACATGCTCACTATTCTGGTCTATTTTGATTCATGTCACCAAGATTCTGCTATTACTAATTGACCCCCCTGAAAATGTGGGACTAATTGGGCATTACGCACCTCCTTGCACACCGGCAATATCAGTATTCTTGAGTTGGTGTCATGTTTTAGTGTGCTCACCCTATTCTTCCCTTTCAATTTAGTCCTATTTCGACTAAAATTTTGCGTTAGGGTTACTTGATGATTCCATCTATGTAAGCAACCCGTGTCTTAGCTATATTAGTCGATGAAAACCGACAACTTCATCAACGCTAACGCACAACCTTAACATTGTACACCATGTTTTTCTATCACATGCTAGAAATATTCTGAAGAGAATTATGCTCAAAAATATCTAGTATTATTATTTTCATCCACTTTCATCAGTTACATTTCCCACTTGTGCTTCAGGACTAAGTGGGCTGAATATTGTACTCGTTTTCTCTTTCAGACACGTAGACCACTCATCACCTCCAGTGGTAAGTTGGTGAGTGTCAAACAAGCTATATGTATATTGAGATCTCATCAGGAACAGGTTCAGTATAGGTGATGCGGAATTTGAAGCAAATTAAGCTATGTAGACGCTAAACTACTCCATCAATCCTATCCTCAAATTAAGTGTGAGTGGGGACTGGTTCCTACAACAACATACTGCAGTTGTCAAGTACAAAAGAGACGCTGAATATATTCGGATTTTTACTCAGGATGTTCAAGAGACTCTTCATCGTATTACGAGATAAATAAAATTGCCGGCATCAGCGTACTATACTTGACAACATTTTTATGGTCATGTATATTCTAACTGAAAAGTTTACAGAATTATTGGCGATATATAACCTTAGAGAACATACTATTTCCTGCAGACTGTACATTTTTATGGACGATTGTAGGTGGTATGCGCCAAGCAGAGCTATCAAAATTGTTATAAGCTTTGTATTATCTTTTTTTCTTATAGCTTGCAACGCAGTCATAGGCGAGCTTCCAATGAGCAGTTGATGAGAACACTATTTATCGGCAATTTACCGCCTAACATTACTAAGAAGAGAATAGAGAAGTTGTTTAATAATGTTCTGAAGAATGATAAGGTTGTATCGTCAAATTGTCGTGTTGAATCTGTACGATTTCGTGGTGCTATCCCAATTACTGGTGGTACCAGTAAACTAGCACGAAAACGTGCGGCTATTAAAGGCGAATTTTCAGGTATGCTTTTTGAACATATGTTTTCCTTCAATTTTATTGGATTCATTTAATTGTTTATTATAGTATTTACATAATTCTTCTATCGAACTCATCTGAAGATCTGCACATGCCGAAAAAAAGTTGGTTGGAGACTGATAAGAATCATCTTAAGAGACACCACGAAGCACTTTCATGTCCATAGGTAGAGGTTGTAACGATCAGCTGTCGATAGGTTTTCGTCTAGACATCAAAACTGGAAGGTGAATCAAAAAGATTTCGAATTCGTTACAGGGTAATACTTCATGTTATACAGTTTGGTATCAGTAGTTTTTTCTATGAATGAACAGCGTCTTCAGCACGGTTACAAGGGATTGATCCATAGAGTTCTAGTAACAATGTTAATGAAAATTTTGTACACAATGATAAGTTTTTATTTTGGTAGTAATATTTTGAGAAAAAATTACTTCCCATGGTCACACTAACAGTTGGAATGTTGTAAGACTATGAAACCTAATCACAAACAGTAATTTTACTCAAAATATTTGCCAACTATCTGGGAGGAGATCAACGCAGACGAAACCAATGAAAGATAGTGAAGGAAACCTAGTTACCAAAGAGGAGAAACAAAGGAAACAATGGGCTGACCACTTCAAAAAACTCTTGAATCGATCACCACCTGCAACTCGTCCAGAAATACCACCGGCAGCCCAGCCACAGAACTATCAGTGAACACAAATCCTCCAACAAAAGTCGAAGTCGTGAACGCCATAAAGTTGCTGAAATCTGGGAAAGCAGCAGCACCAGATGGAATTCCTCCTGAAGCGCTGAAAACACGCTGAGATATCAGTGGATATCCTCACACCACTATTACAGAAGGTTTGGAAGGAAGGAAGGAAAGGTGCCTGCCCATTGATTGGAAAAAGGTATACCTTGTCAAACTCCCAAAGAAGAGAGCCCTAAGTCTTTGCAAGAACTGGTGAGCAATCATGCTACTGTCCACCCAAAGCAAAATATTCATCTGCATCATCCTGAAGAAACTAAAAGATGCGCTGGGTTCAAAATTACGGCCGGAACAGGCTGGATTCAAGAAGAACAAGTCATATGCGGACCAAATTGCAACGCTACACTATGCATCATCATACAACAGAGTACAGAATGGCATTCGGCTCTGTACTTCAACTTCATCGACTTTGAAAAGGCCTTCGACAGCGTCGACCGAGAAGTAATTTGGCAGCTGCCTCAACACTACGGAGTACCACAAACCTTTATCAATCTCATTCAACAACTATATGAAACCGCCACATGCCGAGTGATTCACAATGGAAAGCTCAGTGACACCTCTGAAGTGAGGATAGGGGTAAGACAAGGCTGTTTACTATCACCGATCATCTTGCTGATTGTGACCGACTAGATCATGCAGCAAACCGTGAGGAGCTGTGAGAAGATAGGCATATACTGTTCGACCGATGAAAAAACCCTAGAAGATTCGGATTTCGCCGCCGATGATGATTTATGTCTAATATCTTGTGTCGCACAAACTCGAAGATCTACACGCAAAAACCAACAAGTTCACACAAGAGGCAGGGTAGGGCAGAGCGGCAAAGACGGGACTTCCTCCAGGCGAACGTAGAGAAGACAAAGGTGATGAAGATACCCAACCACCAACAACAACAAGCACCAATCACCATGAACGGGAGAAACCGAAAGGAAGTAGTCTCTTCCACCTACCTAACCAGGCAGCATCGTTCCAACTACAGGTGGCGGCGGTGGCACAGATGAAGACGTCAAAGCCAGCCAGGATCGGAAAGACAGCAACACAGGCCTTCCTGCATTAATCTGAGATGATCAGTGTGATCTACTGCACCGCACTGCACTGCACTCAGCTTAAAGCGTGAACAACATCCGGATTCTAAACACCAATTCAGTCAAGCAAGTCAGTGCTTCTATGTGGTGGTTCAGAAACTTGGCAGGTTACGCAAAGCATTTCCAACAAACTACAGACATTCGTCAACAGCTGCCACCTACGCTCACTCGATACAGGAGACCAGATGAGATGGATGGATGGCCAGAGTAACAAGAATAAACAACATGGAACTCTGGCTGACCGGTTATCAACAAACTAATGAAGCAAGAAGCCATCGTCCAACAAATGTGCAGAAGAAGAGAGTGGAGATGAATTGGATTAGATATAGACTGAGAAGACCATTTGAAGACGTCACGCTCCAGGCCAAGCCATCGAGTAGAATCCAAATGGGAAACGACGGGTTGGGCGTCTGAGGCGAGGGTGACGTGGAGGAAATCATGTGAGGAGGAAATGAAAGCTTAATGGGCAGTCGTGGAGCTAGGTTGAAAAGACCGGAGAGAAGAGAGTGAGGTGGAGCTCTTTGTTCCACTAGGAACCCAAGGGATAAATACTTATCATAAATATGTGCAATCTTTTCATTAAAAATTTTTCTGATCATGTTAAAGTTTTCCATATATAAATAATGCCCATAAAAACTGTATGATGAGTTTCAAGTTTATCTCACTTAAACTCTTTGGTCCAGCATTAGCACCAAAATGTTTGCACATTATAAACATTCAAGTCATAGTTGTTACGAATGCCCTGAAAGAAGTAGGATGCCGAATCAGCTTTAATCATTATAAAAATAAGTTTTAGTATGATCCCAGCGTGTTTAAACAATCAAAACAGGATTTTTGTGAACGTTTCACTGTTTATGCTACAATTTCTTCAGCAGAATATTTTGGATTTTTACTGAAAACAACCTAATATGTACTGTCAAATGGTAACTGTTGCAAGTTCTGAACAACAAATCAACAAACTATTGACTTATACACAGAAATTGCTACATGGAGCGTTCGACCGTTTGCTGATTAGTAAAAATCCAGATTTTCTGCGAAACATTCAGAAAAATCTTGTTTTTCATTTCCCAAACACTGGGATTATATGGAAACTTACTTATATAGTCTAATTGATTATGGCTAGCAGAGGAATCAAGGATGCGCGTTTCGTCCTATTTGGGACGCGTCAGCTGTAGTGAAGGATATTGTTCCTACTGAGACTCGGACCTCGTACCCATCAGTTCAAACGCCAGAGCATTATTCACTAGGCGATTGAGTCAAGATAGCCATCCCTTGTACAACGGGTACTGCAGGTGTTTGGTCACTATTGCCTTCGTAGTATGGGCTGTGTTTCATGATGTCACCGCGTGAGTAACGCAGAAGTCAGGAGTAGAGTTTTAGACAGGAGAGGTAAGTCAGTTAATGATGTAAACCTTCATCGACTGAGATGGTTGGGACATGTGTTACATATACCTAGCCACCATCTGCCTTGTTTCACAATGTTGGCCGAAATAGGTTCAGGCTGGAATAAGGATCGGTGTGACCAGACTAAAACATGACATCAATGCATGAAGTCTTTGACTGATGGTTTAAGCCATATAGGGTGATGCAGACTAGCCGGTTGGGGTCCGTGGGACAAGAGAAACCAGTGATTGGAGACCCTAGGTGATATGACTCAGAACCGATGTTGATGGCCCAGATACGTTATACTCATCTTAACGGCTATACTTAATCTCATCATCTCATTCTTCCTTCCTCTTACTACTTTCTACTTCTTTTGACTGATTTTTCTTTCCCTCTTCATCTTTCTTCTTATTGTCTTGTTAGTTGGTGGGTTGATATGTGAGGTATGGCAACTTGGACTGTATTTCAGTGAAGTATAACCTCCTAGAGTATATGTTCCATCAGTGTCAATTGTCTAACACTCAATTCTCTTTGAAAATCTCCCTTTTTCTTATTTTTCTCCATATTTTCTTGATGGCGATTCGCTCGTGCAACCTATAATTATTTTCATACTAGTTCATATACTCAACTTTCAACTGTCTGATCATAGGATTCGAATTCCTTCCCCCTATCAAAATTTAGGTCACTAGTGCCAATAGAGCTGGCGAAACATATGTGATTTATAGTCTGAATTCATGTGGTAGTTAAGTTGTATTATTCCATTTTTCTTGGCAACTAATGTTCATTATTATTTCATGTGAAAGGTATGATGTTAGGTGTTTTTTTTCTGTCAAATGTGGTGTAAATGTACGTCAACAATGTATTTTTGACTTAAATTATATACATATGAGTAAAGTACTATTTATTTTAAGGTTAATGATTTTATTTTTAAAGTAGCCTACATCATGGACTATCATCAATTGGAGAAGTATTCAGCCATTGGGTCGGAGTCCAATGGTTCATAGTTTCCTATTTCTGTTAATTTGCGATGTAGCCCGACTATCATCCCCTTCCGATTGGTTGGTCGCACATGTTACGACTTCTCATAAGAATTTCGGGATATCCATCTAGAAGCATGTCACTAATAAACACTACTCTCTATTTCACGAAATGACAGAAGTAGGAGAGTGTGAACCATTGAACTCTGACCCACTAACTGAATGGTTCATCGTGAAACTTGAACATCCTGAGTTTGATCCCTAGCTGAGTCGTGGTTACATACTACTAAGGAGTTATCCCATACTAAGATAAAACAGTTGTTCACTACTCCCAGATTTTCAGTGATTCTCCAATTCATGCCTGTGCGTAATGAATTATTATTATTATTATTATTATTATTATTATTATTATTATTATTATTATTATTATTATTATTATTATTTATCCCTTGGGTTCCTAATGGAACATAGGGCTTCAGTAGCACATCTCCAGTGCACTCTGTTCTCTGCAATCTTTTAAACCTGTCGCCACGACTGCCCACAAGCTCTCATTTCTTCCTTGCACGATCCCCTCCATGTCGCCTTCACCTCGGACGCCCAACTCGTCGCTTCCCATCTGGGTCCCACTCGAGAGCCTGGCGCGTGATGTCCCCAGTTGGCCTTCTCAGTGTATGCCCATTCCATCTCCACTTCCTTCCAGTGCATATTTGTTGAGTAATAGGTTCTTAGTTTGTTGGTTGTCAGGCCAGGGTTCCTTGTCGCTGATTCTTTGTTCGTAATGAATACTTGCTGAAAAATAAAGTACTACCTTAATCTACATAACCCAGCGTATGTTGTTTTTTGACGTATAGATGTAGACGTATAAGTTATCTAGCATCTTTTCAAATTTACTCATAGGATTAACTTACCACTATGGAGTTAAGTAAGCATCTATACATAATTGTTCGTCAGTCAATAATGATGTCGAATGTGAAGTAATGATTGTCTACTTATGACAAAAAGAAAGCAGTAGAATTGACAAAGAGAGGGGTGTGTTAAAAGCTTCAACCACTACTACTGTTTAACTCAATAAAATATAAACACGAGAATAATGCATACTAATAACTTTGGAATGCAATTAAGGTCATCTTTTTAAAATTGACGTAGGTTGAAATCGATCTTAAAGTTCATAAATGATGTTGAATTTTATTCCATTGAATAGAGTTTAAATGGACAAAAATAATGGTTTAAATAATAACTTCTGATTCAATCTGGAGGTTTATGGAGATTTATTAATTGATTTCAAGTTGGAATTCATCATGAACTGATATCAATTGAAGGAACAGTGAACAGCTGTTTCGTCCTAGTATGGGACTCCTCAGAAGTGAGCACCTATGACACCCCCCTACCAGGGATCGGAGCCATCACCTTCAGGTTCCGTGGCCAGCACGTTACCAGCGAGCTAACCACTAGGTTGGAATCCAGTCGTCCATATTTCCTACTTCTCTAAGTTCACGATATATCGCAACCTATATGTGGTGTCCTTATATTTGACTTGATTGGCTCAACTGGTCACGATTTCTCATCAGAACTTCGGGAATCAACTCTTGAAGCTAAATCACCAGTGGGCGCTAGATTAATTCTATCTGGAGGTTTGTGGAGATTTATTAATTGATTTTGGGTTGGAATTCATCATGAACTGACAACAGTTGGGGAAACATTGGAAGCCTGAGAGCACTGAGCAGCTACTTCATCCTATTATGGGAGTCCTCAACAGTACGCATCCATGACTCCGCCTCTTCAGGGATCGAACCCAGTCCGTCACGTACTCATTAAGCCATTGTGTCGGAATTCAATGGTCCATATTTCCTACTTCTAAGAGTTCACGATATAACGTGACCTCCATCCAATGTCGCCGTTGAGTAACTATCCTCATGATCGATTTGGTTGACTCCTCGGTCACAAAGAGTCCAATACTAGGACGAAACAGCTGTCCAGTGCTTCCACGTTTCCAATACTCCTCCAATTGATGACACTCCATGATGAATTCCCACCTGAAATCAAGACCTTTCAATGTTTGAAATGATGGCAAAGGTTTGTAGCTCAGGGTGAGAATGATGGTGATTCGGTGTTCTCTGAGCTATAGTATTTTGACGTATACCTTCCATCACAAGGTTTTGTGACTTCCTCAGCACTAACTTCAGAAAGAAGTGAAGCATATTCGAATGTTACACGAGTGTTTAGGTAGTGCTTTTGCTGACCTTCAGTGATTTCCCAAGTAACCAAATGAAATTTAAGGCCATAGAGGTCAATATGTTGCAATTTGACAACACTTAGGGTCAGCGAAAACACTTCTTAAACATTAGTGTAACATTCAAAAATGCTTCAGTTCTTTCTGAAGTTAGTGTTGAGATGTCACAAAACCTTGTGATGAAACTTCCATGATAAAATACCATAGGTTGGAGAACACCGAACCACTATCAATGTACGATGTATACGAATTGGTCACCGGTGAGTAACTGACGGAGCTACCTAGTTCTTAGTGCTCAGGACTGACCGAAATGTACCGACCAAGTTTGGTTCCCAACTTGAATGATGTGACACCACTATGGTATCTCTTTATCTAGGAAATAATACCGTTTCACTGCTGAGTTTCAATCGATCACAGTGCCCAAGTTTTACTCATATTAGTCCGTCAGGGATAATGTTTTATAACTGTTGGAGTCTTGCGAGTAAACTTTTAGGAATATTTTATTAAACCATGATTGATTCCCGGTTGGGATTCATCATGGACTGACATCTGTTGGAGGAATATTGGAAACCTGGGAGCATTGAATAGCTGTTTCGTCCTAGTATGGGACTTCTCAGGAGTGCACGCCCATGACCCCTCCTCGTCAGGAATCGAAACCAAGACTTTAAAGTTCCGCGGCCAACGCGTAGGGAATATGGACCACTAGGTTTCGACACAGTGGCTCAGTGGTTATGTGGCGGCCTGGGTTCGATCCCTGACGGGGTAGAATAACTGCTTAGGGGTCCCATACTAGCATGAAGTAGCTGTCTAATGCTCCCAGGTTTCTCCAACTGTTGTCAATCCGTGATGAATTTCAACCCGAAATCAGTTAATAAATTTCCACAAACCTCCAGATTGAATAAACCATGATTATTGCAGATATAGTTCCTAACTGAATGATTGAAATGGACTGGTGTTGCTGTTTGTCAATCCCAGCATTTGATACAATTATACAGGTATGTCATCAGTAAGCTGAACTACAAGTAGGGTAGATATAAATCAACTTTGACATTTGTACCCCCCCCCCCCTTATAGATGATTATCAATGAAGTTAATCACTTAGCGAATTCTCATATTGTTTAGGTGAGCCCAGCTCTACCTACTACTGGCAGCCAGGTAGTGCCACTAGCCCCTCACACAGCAGGTGTGACTCATTGCCTATTGCATAGATGTGCACAAGATAACTGAATGCGTCTGCTAATGCAGAATACCATGATAAAGTTTGATAAAAGTCTACTGTGAAATGAATGTTGTTGAATCTGCATAAATTAAAGTTAGTAAAAATATCCTCTAAACTGGCCAGATATTAGCTTTATATTCATATCATTATTAAGTTATGTTAACAATAAGATGTTTAGTGATTTTAACTTAGATTAAAGTTTAATTCTCATTCTTCTCAGTCATTTTTGTAATCATAGATCTTTCTTTTCTTTTCTTTTTTTTTTACATCTTATTAGGTGTATCAACATTTCGTATGGGTTATGTGGTATTGACATCAAAAGTTGGTGTACAAGTTGCACTTTCTCTCAATGGATACTGTTTAAACTCGGATGGTTTTATTATTAATCCTGAGGAATCAAATAAACTAATTGATAGTGATACTGTCAATTCTGTCAATAACAATTGTATATATCATATTCGAGTTGATCGAGTTACAGAGAATAAAACAAAACAAAAACTTGATGATTGTGTTTTTCTAGGAAATCTTCCATTTGATTGTACAGAAGAGGAGGTCAGTTCATGTATCTTTTTGTCAAATTGTATTTCATTGTTCTCCTATATTTAATTAAGCTTTCAAGATGTTTCCATATTTCACAACAGCATGAAAAGAGAAATATGGAAGTAAACAAACATACATGAATAAGAAAACTGGCAAATTTGTACTTTAGGACCTGATGTAAAGTGAAAATCTGTTCACTTCTACCACTACTAGGTCTAAAACTTGTCTGACTTTCCTTGGTTTGTTGTTCTAAGGTTTCAGATAGACAAAATCAACCTAGAACCTTGCACAAAACTGCATCGGCTCAACTTGCCACACTTCATAGAAGTGCACGAAGAACAGGTGGATAGAGAAGCGATTGATATCAAAGTTGACAAAGTTGTGTGAAAGAATAAACAGTCTGAAGATAAAGGTTAGTGTGAATATATTCAAGCTTTAGAAGATGTCAAGGAGTGAATACATCTGCACCATTGTGACAGATTTTCAACCTATCAACCAAGAGTCCTTACTCACTGATTCTTATGGTCTTGGGGACCCGGTCATAGTTCAGACAGACAGTTAACGACTTTATGGATTGGTGCCTCGTCTTGGTCTGGTCAATCTGACACTTCATCCAACCTAATCCAGCTTTCCCTAGCACGGTACGTCGAGGTTGGCGATGTCTGGGTATGTGCAGTACATGTTTAATCCATCTCAGTCAAAGAAGGTTCACAACCTCACTCATTGACTTGCCTGTCTTGTCGCCTAGTACCCTTCACCTGATCTTCATTTAGATGTCAAAAGATTACACCCATAGAAACTACATTGGTGGGGCTAGTTTCTATGTTTATCGGATCAGGATTTGTTTTTTTCTTAAGGACGATTAAAATCAGCCAGAATGAGATCATGTCCAACGCCTACGCTTTGATTAATGCCTCAACCAATCTAGCAATTAATCATCAACAACCATCCTTAGTCACTTGTACAAGAACAGGATTTAAGCACAGTAGCAGAGTATAAATCCATTGTGGTTCTTTTGTCATATGTATTATACGGTGAAACAATATTACTTATGAATAACATTTCGAGCAGAATTTATTCCCTACAATCATATCAACGGACCTAAACACTTCTAGTAGTTGTGTATCAGGAACAAATACTCCATCGTTAGAGATTATTTACAGTTTTCTGAGCTTCAGTAAGACTAAAAGGGTTCTATCAAAGTTTCAGCTGACTGGCAGCAACTGAAGTCTAGTTGAACTGTTAGTTAGAAGTGTCACCTATCAATGCTTCCATCTTGCTATCAGAAGTCTAACTAAACATCAGTCTTTTTCTGACTATTTCACCTGAATTGATTCACTTTCATGTAACTTTCAACATTTTTGTCTGTTTATTTTAGGATTTAGGCAAAACAGGCAAGTTGATTGATGAAGTTATGAACCTTAGTCAACTGAGATGGCTTGGAATTGTACTGCGTATGGTGACCAAGGTGTTTGCCGTGGATGACCAGCAGTGCCATGCTGATGCTGCCTTCTCAGTGAAAGGGGGAGTTAGAAAAGGTCGGCCTCAAAAATAACACACTCCACCATACCCCACGGTCTGCCGGGCCGGTGGTGTTGGTTCCTTTGTCGTTTCGAAACAAGCATACACAAAAGGCTGCATGTGATAGGCCTCAAGCAGATGTCCGATGGGCTCTGCGGTCACACAAATCTCTTCCAGGTAGCTTAAGAAGAAATAGCCTTCTACGGTGTGGGCAGCTGGGAAGTGTCAACCGCCCTCACAATTCTGTCAGTACTCATGTTTTCTCAGACTATCCACCTCCCCCATCATTACTTTCTTCAGACTGCGAATGGTGACCGAACCACCGCCTACCTTAACGTGACATATTAATGGAAGTTGGATTTAGTTGGAAGAGGGTTCAGCGTGAGCAAACCAAAATCTGGCACCAGTTGATGAAGTCTCTGACTGCTGGGATCCCCGAGACGAAAGGAATCAGTGGTTGAGAACTCTTGTTGAAATGTCTGGAAATTGGTCACAATAGCGCAGATGTATTCACTCCTTGACCTCTTCCAAAGCTTGAATATTCACACTAACCTTTATCTTCAAATTGTTTATTCCCTCACAGTACTTTATCTACTATGATATCACTCGCTTTTCTATCCACCTGTTCTTTGTGCACTTCTGTGAAGTGTGGCAAGTTGAGCCGATGCAGTTGTGTTCGAGGTTCAACGTTGATTTTGTCAGTCATGTTAGCATTTCATTTTCACCATCCAACACTTCCTGGAAAGTGAGAATACCATTCTAAGATGCCAATATCTTGTGACTCCAGAGTTAATTTTTTAATCAAACCGCTGGTAGTGTACTGTCCAGTCAATTTCATGTATGCTGTTCAATGTTCAATATCTATTGAAACCCATTGTTAAGAACAGCTACTAGAACAAGGGTTGCCTATACCCTTATATTCCATACTTCGGATATATTTGGACTGTCTTGCTACACACTTTTTGCCGCGCATGGGTTATATTTCGTATAAACAGCTAGCATTCTGATTGGCTTCTATCTCTTTAAATGTATTAATTATTCTTTGCCTTTCAAGGTTACTTCAAACTCTATAAACAGGGTCTGTTTTCACTGATAAGTGTTTTCAGTCTGAGATACTATAAACTCATCTGATCTCCAGTCTTTTAATTTCTCTTTGCGAATTAGTCGGGTTGAATCGTCTCAACCCTCGACTATCAATCGTTAAGTATTTTTGTTTGTTCTCATAACTCTGCATTATAACAAGAAACTATGCTCTAGGCTAATTGAATGTGTATGTACTGACAGTAACACTAAATTGCAGTCGTAGCAGTAGGATTTCCACATTGATCCTCGTTTTATTCTTTTGGGTTACAACTTCACTGGTTACGGTGCTATTTAGTTATTCAAGTTGTCTGTTGGTCACAGTGAGGAGCCATTGATGACCATGCTGGTCAATTACATGTTGCTATTTTTTCTACCTGGTTTCTTGACTTTATTTAAATTCATTCCCTCCTTCTACAATTCCTTAGATTCATAATGTTCTGTCTTCATTGGGTACCTTATCCAATGTACGATTAGTACGTGATAGTCAAACTGGTGCAGTACGTGGATTTGGTTATGCAACATTTACTGATCCGTCTATTATACCATTAGCTATACGTGCATCGAATACACTGTCTGTACGTGGAAGACAGATTAGGATTTGTGAATGGAAAATGAAGAAATCAAAGAAAAACAACAAAAACAAACATTTTTATCAATTGAATTCTACTGATAAAAAGATGATTAATACTCACCCAAAAAAGAATATGAAGAATAAAAGTGGAGAGAAAAAAACGGATAAGAAAAAACAGGGAAAATCTCTAATGAAAAATAAGACTAAAAAATAATAAGGATAAAAATCGAAATTAGTAAGATACTGGCGGTTGTTTTAAAAAGAGGAGAAAAAAGCAATTTGTTTGTATATTTTCCTGTAAAGGTTTACTTTATTTCCTAACCTACTGGTTATATAATAAAGATTACCAGATGTACATATAAAATAAAAGTGTATTGTACTGATTCAATAATGGTTGTTTTTGTCTTGTTTTGAAATTGTCCATTCCAGCAATGTAATCATAAGTAGGATCACCATGGGATCAATCAGACATTACTCCATAACGGTTCAGGTTATCACACCTCAGACTAGCATACAGAAATAGAGAAGAATCAGTCAAGAGCAGAAGAAAGTAGTAAAAGAGAGGAATGGAGACTCAGACTAACAGTCAAAGACCTTGTGTAGTGTTGCTGTGTTTTAGTCTGGCCGCCCCTGACCTTTTTCCAGTCTACACCCGGCTTCAACTAGCATTGTGCGATGAGTCAGATAGTGACTAGACATGTGTTACACATCACAACCATCTCAATAACCCACTCTCCTCTCTAAAATTCTACATCTGGCTTCTATATTAGTGACGTGGTGACAGTATGACACATAGTCGATGCTACGAAGGTAACGGTGTTCGAACATCAAAAACCTAATGCCATCTGAGTCTAGTAGCTATATTTCACATCCGAATAGTAGTACTACAGCACTGCTAATACAGGTTAGTTATCTTGTTGTGGGCTACACAGTAGATGCCAAAAACCTTACGGCAATTTCATACGTGACTTGCACATCGGCAGTGGTCAACGCATTTCATTACGTTATCCCCTTAACTTCAAGTTAGTCAACTTCAACGCTGGATACGTCATTATTGATTAACGGTTCGCGTCACCACACCTTACATCAGTACATCAAGGCACAGAAAAAGAAGTTAAGAAATACACAGAAATGTCATAAATCAATCAATAAAATAATTCTGTATGATGATCGACTGTTAGCAGAATAGCCTAGTTTCAATCATCGATTTTGGTTGCCTCGCAGATGCCAAACATGATGTCCACATTTCCCTGCATGATTCATGTTAAAAACCGAAGACTTTATGAACCGATGTCATGTTTAAATTTAAACTCCTGTAATTCTTTTTCAGCCTAGAAACTACTTCAGCTATTATCTCACGACAAGACAGACGATGACGAAGCATCCACACTACATGTCCAATTAACTAACCTCTTCTGCATGAAACTCAATACCTGACTTCCATTTCACTGACGTAGTTGTATCATCATGACACATGCCTTATACTATGTAGGCAACGGTGGTCTGAAGCCTACTTCATTTCTCTGCAGTTAGTGATCATGTTTAACAGCCATATAGTAGAACATAGCAAACTGCAGACCAGTGGCTGACTGACAAAATCAACGTCGAACCTCGCACACAACTGCATCAGTTCAAGTTGACACACTTCACAATAGTATACAAACAAAAAATGGATAGCGAAAAAGTAATGTCAAAGTAGACAAAGTTGTGTGTGTGAGAGAATAAACAGTCTGAAGATCACCGTTAGTAAGAATATTCAAATATTAAAAGATGTAAGGAAGGGAAAACATCTACACCATTGTGACCGATTTTCACCTATCTCACCAAAAGTCCTCAGCCACTCATTCCTGTCGTCTCGACGATCACAACCGGGTAGTCTATATCGTCGCACATAACTCAAACCAACAGTCAGGGACTTCACTGGCTTGTGACACGTCTTGGTCTGGCCACCCTGAAACCTCTTCCAACTCTCTCCAGTATCGCACGTCGAGACACGCAGTTACATTGCATGCGCAACACATGCCTAAGCCATCTCAGACGATGAAGGTTCACCACCTCATCAATCGATTTGCTTGTCTTGCCTAGTACCCTTCGCCTGACCTCAAAATTACTCACACAGTCATTCCATCACACACGACCTATGCTACGAATATATCTGTGATCAAAACCCAGTTATCGCTTCATATCTTTTACTCTTAACAGCAATGTCTTACCGACGTATAGTAGGACAGAACGGACTGCAGCACAGTATACTCCTCCTTTCATAGATAGTTGGATATCTCACTAATCGGCACCAAATATGATGCAAGTTGGCAAACGTCAAACGAGCCTTCTGTATATGAGCTGAGATTTCGTCAGTAACCAGCCTGTTCAGTGGGCTGATGCAACTCCTCAAGTCAGTGAAATGGTTGACACATTCCACCACATCACTCACTATCATCACTATGCTTTGAGTACTTGTAGTAGACCAGTCCTGGAGCATCATCTTACATTTGATAGGTTCCAGTGAAATGCATGGCAAATATACTCAGATTTCTACGAAACGTGTTTAGGAGACCCTGCATTTTGTCAATATCTCCACCGAGTAGGGTATTCCAAGTCGACCAGATGACCTCCTGGGTGTAGGTCAATCCATGTGAATTGAGACATTCTGAGGATTATGTCCATTAGTAAGTCTATGACGAAGTTAAATAGGGACGGTGACAGTGGACATCCCTGGCAGACTTCACTATTTGTCGTCGATTCACATGACTACTCTCCATAAGCTCTTACATGGTTGCGTGAGTTCAAGTAGAGAGCTTTGATTAGCAAAGTACACTCGACCCTTGGTTGGCATTCGGTATCACGGTAGAGCAGTAGATGGAGTACATTGGTGAAGACGAAGGGACCCCCTTGTATCTTCCTCAAGATTTCGTCGGTTACTGGTCCACCACGGCTAATCTCAATTCAGTAAAGTGATTAATGCGTCCAATCACTTCACTCCCTATTACCAGGCAAAACACCAAATCAGAGCATTCATGGAGAAAAATGAAATCTACATTTGGGTAATGAGAGATGATACAAATATTTACAATTTACCACTTAATCTGTGCAAAAGATTCTGCATCTTTTCAGCACTACCTAACAGGATTATTTCGTCTGGATACACAAAGTGTTAAGAAGTTTCCTTCAAAAACAACAATTCTTGTGAAGTCAGACTAAGAAAAGATGACCTCCGTTAGCACGTCTACGACAAAGTTATATGACAATAGATTAGTTGAACACTACTGAACGTGCACAACTCACCACTAACTGCAGTTCTTGGACTAGTGTTCGAGTGCAGAACATTAATCAGGGTAATGTACTTACTGGGATATTTTTCACTGACATACACTGTTGTAAAGCCTCTCAGTCGACAGATCAAGCAATAAGACCAAAGTCAGCCACCGTCAAGCGTGCCTGCTTTCAGAAACATCTCAAATTGCAGAGATCTGACTGACGCATCCTCGTCTGCATCTGAAACCCTTCCTTTTTTTTCGAGTTTATCGTTCTCACATCCCGACTAGTCATCGCACAACTATGAATCTTAGTATCTTGGACGTGACGTAAGACAAGCTGATCCCTCAATGCTTGTCAAAAGGAGACTTTTCTCCTCTTTTGTAAACTGGAATAATCAGCGATCCTGACGTTTTCATGTTCCATTTCAGCACACGCAGGCTTCAGTGCTATCTGTTTTCTGCACCCAGTAACACACCAGTAATAACGTGTGATCGGAGTCCAAGTACATACTACAGAAAGAGTGGTTTTCCCCGGCGGACCTCAAGTGATACTGTGTCTTTCCTTATGCTTGGTAAGGAACAAGGGATTGTCATAAAATAAGTCGCACCAATCACTGTTGTCGGTTCGTTGACATGGGATACATTAGATGCCTTTTCGACTGGAGCCGCTTTCTTATCCCTATTACTGTATCTGAACATCTTGCTGTATGAAGCGAAATCCACAGCTTTTTATAGAACTCATATTTTGTATCATCCGAACTCCAATCGGTAGGCGCATAAGAAAAAAACTGCATGTAGGTAATGAAAAGTGTCACGCTCTTTTTTAGTGTTCACACGTTTGTTCAGTCATACAGTGCATAGTCGGCTACCAATTGGTGTGCAGTTGAGAAGTATGCTTTCTGCTATGCATCTCAATGCTATGATTACAGAATTATCACTGAGTGATATATATGCCCCAAATTTTGCGTATTACTTTAAAATAACTTATCATTGCTGTTTTCACACTGCTGCTATCTTTTGCTTCCCCACTGTTCTGAAGGCTGAACTCTCACTGGTTGTTAATCCTTTGAACCTTATATGTGGATTTACTGTTGTCTAGGTCATCTATTATTATTATTATCATCATCATTATTTATCCTTTCAGTTCCTAGTGGAACACAGGGCTTCACTAGCACGTCGCCATTTCACTCCGTTCTCTGCAATCTTTTGAGCCTGGCTCCACGACTGCCCACAAGCTTTCATTTCTTCCTCGCACCATTTCCATGTCACCCTCAGCTAGGACGCCCAACTCGTTGTTTCCCCTTCGGATTCCACTCGACGGCCTGGCCTGGAGCGTGATGTCCCTTAATGGTCTTCTCAGTCTATGCCCGATCTATCTCCACTTTCTTCTTCTGCATATTTGTTGGGCGATGGCTTCTTCCTCCGTTACCAGCCAGCCAGCTAGAGTTCCTTGTTGCTTATTTCTATTATTCTGGCCATCTGGTTTGATCTTCAGTATCGAGTGAGTGTAGGTGTTGATGAATGTCTGTAGTTTGTTGGAAATGCTTTTCGTGATGCACCAAGTTTCTGAACCATATAGAAGTACTGACTTGACGTTGATGTTGAAAATCCGGATCTTGTTGATTGGAGTGCAGTAGATCTTCACACTGGCTTCAGGTTAATGAAGGCCAAGGTCATCTAGAAATGCATATATTCAGCACTGCTCTCAATCGTTTTGAATGTCGTTGAGACAGCATAAGCTCTCTGTCAAGAATCCGTTTTCTCTTCAAGTGTCGGGGGTATTGTTGTTGTGGTGGTTGACATCCTGATTCGTTTGCGCGCTAGGTTTGTATCGCTCGAAGACTGCCAGGCTCGCACTTCTGTTCATGGGATCGAGGTAATAAATAACGTCAATTCCTTGAATTATCTTGGTAAGATTCTACACACAGTCATCAGATAGTTCATAGGGGTGGTTCTTTCAAAGATTGTCAAGATTTGAAAGCATAAACTTCTGAGTTAGTAACCAGTAAGAGTCATATCAACAATTTGAGTAGTCAGGAGTCACTGAAACTGATCTGTAGTAGTCACATCAACCTACCTGACTGATGACAGTATAACTAGAAATTAAAATACTACTAATAATAATGGGGAGTGGTTAACAGTGGAATTAACGACACGCGTTTCGTCCCATTTGGAATTCGTCAGATGTACCTGGCTCCCAGTGCGCGATGTTGTTCCCACTAGGACTCGAACTCGGGACCGATGGCTTCAAATGCTAGAGCCTTATCCACTAGACCCCTGGGTCACGATACCCACTTCTTATGCGACGGTTATAGCTTTAACGTTGTTGCTTGTATTATTCTGTCATAAACTGAGTCCTGGTGGGAACAACATCGCTAACTTGGAGGCAGGTACATCCAGCTGACGAGTCCCAGACAGGAAGGTACGTACGTCACGGATCCCACTGCTAGCCACTATCCATCAATAATATATATAATTCAAACACAGGCAATATCCAGGCATCTGCGCAGGAGCTCATATGCCGATTGAGACCGATCTATTCAGTCCACTCAACGACAGGACAACAGATGCCAACTTACGCCACCTATGGCGCTGTCGTGATATCCGTTTGTCTATTAAATGTCGCATGTACTGCACAGCAGTACAGTCTGTTCCACTGTATGGCTATGACCTATGGCCAATGAAGGTGAAAGACATGAGAAGTCTTCAAGTGTTTAACCACCGTTGCCTTCGTAGTATAAGCTGTATTCCATAGTGTCACTATGTGAGTAACTCAGAAGTCAGACGTAGAGTTTTAGGGAGGAGAGGAAAGTCAGTTGACACGGTTGTGAATCTTCATCGACTGAGATGGTTGGGACATGTGTTACGTATACGTGGTTGCCGTCTGCCTCGCACACAATGTTGGCTGAAGTAGGTCAAGGCTGGAAAAAGACCTAAGGTGGCCAGACCAAAACATGACACCAATGTATGAAGTCTTTGACTGTTAGTTTGAGCTATGTGGGGTGATGAAGAATAGCCGGTTGGGGTCCGCAGTTGGAGACTCTAGGCGATATGGCTCAGAACAGATATCAATGGCACAGATGTATACACATCTTAACGACGCTATACCGAACCTCACCATTTTCTCATTCTTCCTTTCTCTATTTTTGTATTTCATACTTCCTTTGACTGAATTTGTTTTTCTTCATCTTCTACTTCACTGCCTTTCTACTTGTTATACTGATATGAACTGTGGCAATTCAGACCGTCATGCAGTAATGTCTGGTCCTATGTTGATTTGGATGGGTGGATAAAAGCAAATAACATTATCAAATACTAAATTCAACAATCCTTGAATCCAATTAGATATATATTGTTTATCAACTGTATCAAGATAGATGGTAGGCAGTTGAAACAAACAACAACAAAAAAAACAGTACACTTTTGAACAGCATATAAAATAAGACAAAACATATAAACTATCATTGTGTACAATAAATTGGTTAGTATAACACTCTGCCACTGCCACTAACAACTGTTAAATTTTTACTGAATTTCTTCATCTCATCAGTTTACTTATTTACAACACTAGAGTACAATTTTTTGTATCTCAAATGATAAACATAAAATGTAATTATGATATTATCATCCAGTAGTTTAGAAGGAAAAAATCTTGATAATTTCACTTTGAACAGAAAACATTAAACAAACCTTGATGAATACAATATGAAGACTGAATTAAAACCTGGGAGAAGAGGGGAATGAAAAAAAAAGACTAGAATACAATGAACAATAACAAACAAACAACAAAAAAAGAGAAAGGAATAATCTTCTTTTTTACAATGGGAAAATTTTCAATGACAATATATGTATGTAATATACAACAGATTATTAACAATCTTCTGATGAAGTTTCCATAATTTCTGTAACTTCCTCTTCTTCAAGTGTTTCCCAAGATGAATCATCATCAGCTTCATCTTCATTGTTATTTACATTCTCATTGGAATGAGAATTAGTGATAAGATTTTCAGGATTCAAAGTAGAATTATTATCATTATTATTCACCACTTCATTAACAATATTAGCAGATTCTGTAGAATTTGTAGTAGTTTCTGTACGTCGGCGACGTGTACGTCGTCTTCTAGCACGTTGACGTTCATTTGAAGATGGACTCCAATAACTTGAATCACTACTACTACTACTACTAGTAGTAGTCATATCATCTGAAGTTTCATCAAGTATTTGGGCAAGTTCATCAGCAGCATCTCCATTCAATAAATCATCATCTTCATCATCATCGTCATCATCATCTTCGTCATCATCCTCATCTTCACGTCCTTCTTCATCATCGTTATCAGGTTCACGTTCTCCCTGAAATGATAGTTTAAAATACATCAACATAGTAACTATTCGAGAGAATGAAACTGAGATATTGAAAATGATCTCGAAATAGATTTAGTATAAATTACATCTGAATATTAGAGAAGGCATAATGACTGAACGAAGTTATAATTCTAATACTTATCACGTCAATGTTCTCTTCAGTACTTCTTAAAGATGTAACTTGATCAGCGGACTGATAGTTATTGTTGCAATGATCAATCATCTTGACGGTACACATACAACCAACCAACACTCAACCTTTTAATAGTTCTAACTACAAATGTATTAAACGTATATTAAATATGGTTAAATACGCCCACATAAACACTAACCAAGCCTTAGTACTAATGCAACTGTCACAAACTAGTGCCAAATAGATAAAATCAGCTGATTAAACACTAAAACAATAATTCACTCCAGGTGTGAAAACAAATAAGCGATTAAGTGCAGTTTCATGTGCTGATTGTATGTGGAGGATAACCGGGGTACGGTGTGGCTGGGGTCTACTAAATCTCGGTGAGTGGAGCAAGAATTTCAATTCATGACCGTCTCATATTGCAACTTGATTATCAGTACACACATTTGCTTCACCCTTGGATCGAAATTAAGCACTTCTAATTCCTGAAATCTATAATTTCAATGGTTATTATATTTTCAAGAAATTTGATGAAATTTTAAACGATGATTTAACTATATAAGATAGCCATAGTTTAGCAGACTAATATTTGTACTGGGTGATGATTGAAGGTGAGATGAAAATCTGGATCACATGGTAGTCGGGCAAAAGCCTTTGTGATTGAAGTGAAATAAAATTCTGGTCAGCAGTCAAACCTCATAGCTCTGTTGGTAGAGCACTAGGTCGGTAACCCGGTGGTCGCTGGTCCGAGTCCGGCTGCAGTCTAAATTTTCATTTCACCTTCAATCATCACCCAGTATAAATACTACTCTGCCAAACTACGGCTATCTCCGTCAAATGGTAATCAGTATGATGATGCTTCCCCTCTCTAATTCAGTTAGATTTCGATTGGAACGAGAAGTCCTGACTAGACAGCCAGTGTGAATACGATCAAGCGATGGTGACGCGTGACGAATTCACATGGTGGTCGGGCAAAACTCGTGATGATTGAAGTAAAATAAAAGTCTGGTCAGAAGTCGAACCTCTTAGGTGAGTTGGTAGAGCATTGGGCCGGAAACTCGGTGGTCGCTGGTTCAAATCCGGCTGTGGTTTAAATTTTTGTTTTACCTGTAATCACCACCCGGCATAAATACGAGTTCACCAAACTACAGCTATCTAAGATGGTCAAATCATAACCAATATGATATTCCACCACTCTAATTCAGTTAGATTTCGATTGGAATTAGGAGACCTGATTAGACAGCCAGTGTGAATACGATCAAGGGGTAGTAACGCCTGACGAATTCACATGGTGATTGAAGTGATTGAAGCAAAGTAAAATTCTGGTCAACAGTCAGACCTCGCAGCTCAACTGGTAGAGCACCGGGTCGCTAACCCCGGTGGTCGCTGGTTCGAATCCGACTGTAGTCCAAAGTTTCATCTCATCTTCAATCATCACCCAGTAGAAATTTTAAATGACGGAATAAATAATAATTATAATGACAGAGAAGAAAATAATGATTGAAACTTACACGTTTACGACCAACCATATAAATTCTACATTGAGTAATAGGTTCATTATTGTTATTCTCACCAATTTTTTCAACTAATGCTAATGATTGTCCAGCTGTATCAAGCGCTAATTGTTCAATTCGATGACGCACATCGACTGAAGCAATTAAACTATAATCTATAGCATCTACTGTACGGAACATGTTTTGCATTACCAAACGATTACTTCCTAATTCAGCGTACTCTTCATCATCTAGGCCAAATATACCTATAATATACAGTAAATATATGTTAAATGCATTCAGATATGATATATTTTTTCATTGCAAAAAGGTCAATTAATTGTAAAGATAATAAACTTCAACTTACCAGCGTATATTACATCATAAGATGCATTGAACTGAACTTCAAGTCGATCTAATGCTTGAATAGTATGCAATAACCTCCATGTTCGTAAATCCCATACAGCAGAACCAATAATTATTTCAAGACCATTTGGATGAAAAACACCTGATACAATATCTTGAAATTTATCAAATTTATGTATAGGTCTAGATGAAGTACCAGGATGTTGTAATGAACTTGAAAAGTTACTGGAAAACATTCCAGAACACCTTAAATCCCATACAACACCATCGTTTAATACTAAATGATCGGATGGAGAAAATGTTGCCTTATTTAAGACGTAACCACTTTGTTTGACTGCAGAAAATAAGTCTGAAACACGAGATCCAGTTGTAAGATCAAATACCTACAAAAGAAAATATGCATAAATTGTGAACTATTCACTTATTTTCCAATGATAATGCATAACATGAAGGTCTAGTTACAATGTCTCAACCATTGAAGTCAGATAGATAGATAGATAGATAGAAAGACAAAATCAACGTAGAACCTCACACACACAAGTGGGTCACACAAGCTGGTACACTTCACAGTAGTAGTAGTAGCAGCAGCAGCAGCAGAAAGATTCCTCAAACACTGATTCCTATGGATTCGGAGAGCCCAGCCAGATAATCTAAGCCACCCTAAAACACTGTTGAGACCAAGAGAGACAGAAACTTCTTCCAACCTCTCTAAGGATTGCACATCAAGTAAGTTCGGTGGTGGCTAGGAATGAGCAGTACATTTCTAAACTCCCTCAGTCGGTGGAGGTTCACAAGCTCTCACTAAATCACTTGTCTTCCTTGACTAGTATACTTCGTCCTTCATCGACATTTTGAATACGGTGATTCCACCATACACGAGCAATGCTATGAAGAAAATTGTGATCAAAGAATTGTAACCATTTCTCCTACTTTTAACGCCAAGGTCTTATAGGTGTTTAACAAGAAAGAATGAAGTCCAGCCCAGTATACCCAATGAAGTCAACGACAAAATAATCACATGAACATTTAGAATTGATTCAAACTAAGAATGGCTATTGGAATGCGTAGTACTGCTTAGTGCTTTACAACAACAACAGGAACAAAAATAGCCGTAAATTTAACGAAATCCTCATGCCTGAAATTAAGCACTTCGAATCCCTACGTTTTCGTTTACTTCTAATCAGAATGTCTAAGAGACACTAATACATCTATGAATACTATGAGTGATTTTGTATTGCTCACGTATGGTGGAATCACTGTATTAGAAGTGTCGATGTCAGGTGAAGGACTGAAGAGTCTTGTTGATATGGCTAAAAATTAGTCACCATGGCGCAGATGTATTCCTTTCTTGAAATCTTTGAAATACTGACGCTAACTTTTATTTTCAAATTGTTTATTCTCTAACACTACTTCGCCTACATGGATATTAGTCTTATTCTATCCACATGTTCTCCTGTATACACTACTGCAAAGTGTAGCAACTTGAGTCGATGCACACCTGGGATTCTGAACCGTAGTTACACGCCGACTAACTTAACGATCAAGCATTCATTATTGCTTGTATTATTCCGTCATTGATCGATTTCTATTGGCATATGGGCTCTCATGAGGAGGCCTCGATACTACCTGTGTTTTAATCATAGTGATGATGGACAGTAGCTACCTTGGAATCCAGAGTGAACATTTCATCCCATTGGGGACTCATCAGCCGGATGTATCTGCCTCCTAGTGAGTGTTGTTCCCACCGAGATTCGAACTCGGGACCGATGGCTTCAAATACCAGAGCGTTATTTACTAGACCACCGAGCCACGACAGCCACTTCTTGTACGACGGATATAGTTTTAGTATTATTGCTTAATGATCATAATGGTATGTGTTGCTCGACAATAACACATGAATACTAATAATCGTAGAATTACTTTGACTGATTTCCTATAAGACCAATCAATATAGCAGCTGTTTCTTCCACAGAATATACGAATATATGAGATAGATTATTTGGGACAGTAGCAAATAAAACATCAAGGAGGAAGTATCACACAGTCGGTTATCATCTAATTTAAACGAAGGATATCCACTGTTGGAAAACACGGGTAATAACAATTGAAACATGTTTCTGCTCTACGCAATAGAACATCTGAGTGTAATATAACATCATACATAAACAGAAAAATAATCATCAGTATTCATATCACTTTGAATAAAAGTGATATGTCAGATACTTTTCAATAAACGGACTACTGGATAAAAATTAAAAAAAAGTTCACAACAATACGGAAGACAAAAAAAGGGAATAATCAAGATACGAACTACAAACCTACCTTAGCCATTTTTCCATAAGTTGCTACCAGACGATCTTGATGACCTGTATTACTGAATTCTGCATAACGTGCTTCTGATACATGAAATCTAAAAGTAGAAGAGGATGAATGAAGCATAAAGCTTTTCGCCTTCCGCTCGAAAATTCAGTACCAAGGATATATATATATATATATATGGCTCAGTTGAATTTTAAGCTTTTATTTTTCTTGTCATTGGACAGATCTATCCTCAAACTATTTTCAATGCATTAGAAGATAACGAAACTTGTGTAGGGCAACAGAGAGCGACCTTCACCCCGTGCAACCACCACCACCACCACTGAGATGGATTAACCTAACATAAGAGAATGTGTGCACATCACATCCAACAGTCACTTACACTTAATTTATGTAGATCTAGGACAATATACCCATAAAAGTCTAGTAGGTTGTGGTTGAAAATCTTAGACTAGTCCTTAATATTTTCAATGATGTTATGTTCTCTAAGCTGGACTGTCTAATCATGAAGCTTTCATTGTCATTCTAGACGGTATTATCAGCTTAGAGCACAAAACACCATCAAAATCATTCCCTCCATCATCTCAAAATCCTATGACCGTCAAACGATTCTCACTGATTGGAAAGAGACAAATTGTATCCAAAGGCAAGTCTTCACAAAAAGAACAACTATATTTTCTTCACAAGTATCTATGCCAGCATAGTTTTCAATGCATTCAGTTGGAATAAATATAAATCATATCTAAAATATAGTGAGGTATAACTCAACTTATTTGTTGATTACTTATCATCATTCGACTATCTGAGATAGCCGTAGTTTGGTGAACTCGTATTTATGCCGGGTGATGATTAAAGGTAAAACAAAAATTTAAACCACAGCCGGATTCGAACCAGCGACCGCCGAGTTTCCGGCCCAATGCTCTACCAACTCACATACGAGGTTCGACTTCTGACCAGACCTTTATATTACTTCAATCATCACGAGTTTTGCCCGACTACCATGTGAATTCGTCACGCGTCACAATCGCTTGATCGTATTCACACTGGCTGTCTAGTCAGGACTTCTCATTCCAATCGAAATCTAACTGAATTAGAGAGGGGAAGCATCATACTGATTACCATTTGACGGAGATAGCCATAGTTTGGCAGAGTAGTATTTATACTGGGTGATGATTGAAGGTGAAATGAAAATTTGGACCGCAGCCAGATTCAAAGCAGTATAGATTACTTATCAATAAAAAGGTTACAAAGCTGACACAATGCAGTGTAGATATAGAAAACAAGTATTTAACAAACCAAAATAAATGAATCAAAGCATAGATGCGGTTTCATATTTCTACTGAATTTCATTTGTTAATATTGAAATCCAAAGGAGACTTGAGCATGTAGTGACTTCCCATGGTATGAAGAAACTATCGACACACACTGAGTGGGTTTCAGAATGTGTACTTATTTTTAAAACTAGCTTCCAATCATTAGGTCTGTGGCATAAATCCCACATACCTAACTGGATAACATCGGTAGACTCTTCAACCCACATAAGAGTGCCACGTAGTGGTCTGGTCACCCTTAACCCTCAACAAATTAATCCAACTTCCCCTAGCATGGCACATCGAGGAAAGTGGTAGCTTAGTGTGAGAAACACATGTCCAAGTCATTTCAACTGATGAAGGTTTACAAGTAAATGAATCGAATTGCCTATCTTGCCTAGTATCCTTCGCCTGACGTCAACATTACTATTCACGAACAATGAATGTTACGAAGGCATCTGTGATTAACAACCTATACTTTTAACAGCTATGTCTTATAACCGTATAACACGACAGAATGGATTGTAGCGCAGTACATTCATCCTTGAATAGGTAGTCCGATATTTCCCCGGCACCACAGATGATGCAAGTCGACAAATGTTAGCTAAATAAAACAGGGTATTCAATAAACCAAGGTGTTCTTTAAAAAACTATATGATGAAGATAAAAGTGTCGAAAAAACTGTCAGCATTACACTGAGTATATACACACACAACATAGATTACATACACAAAATCTTCAGAAACTGTTTCCCAAGGACTGTTTGAACTTGAACTTATACTTGTGGCTGGTCTAAGTCTAGCCACAACTGTAGCCGGTTCACCCCATTCAGAACAGACTAATAAACGTTCACCATCACGTGTATGAGCTAGACGTCGAATAGACGAACTTTGTCCATGAAACAATTCTATAGGTAAACCATCTTCTTCCACGTTAACCCATGCAATAGCTCCTGAATTTGAGCCTAAAAATAGGCCATCATCTGTTCGCTAGATGAAAACAAGAATCAAATGAGCAATATACGCAATGCGAAGGATTCTACCACAAATAATTATTAGTTTGAAAGACAACAAAGTAGCGACTGATAAAACAGTAATGTTCGCCATAAAAGAAAGATTATTCATAGAAATCTAGGCTATGTTGAATGCTTTAACGTCTAGGAAAAGATATTTCAAAGTTACAGTGAAAGCAGACATTACTTTGGCTGTTTAAATAGTAATGTCTGGATATTATGTGAAACTATTTTGAGTCGAAGTAAGCAGACCAGGATCCAATGCTTGAAAATCCATTGAATAGGTCAGCAAGTCACATATCCACAAATGTAATCAAATCTGAGTCGATTTATTGCACCTTCCATTTTTCTTTTTAATTGATGGCATAATATGTTTGGCGTTGTGTTTATCTGAAACACTGAGCACTATTTCATCCATGATTGTTGAGTATGAGAAGGAGAATTATCTGCTCCGATAAAAATCACTTCTAGGCTAAAACATTATATGAGTTGATGAAGTTATGAACATGTATTCCAATAAGTAACAGAAATGTGTTATACCTGATATAAAAGGTTATCTACTCTGATCTGAGATCCGCACGGCCGCCTTCAAGATTTTTTCATATATTACACCTTTATTGATCACGTTTGACAACCTCATGTAGTATAACAGAGAGAACTATACAGCTCTACACAGTCGAATATTAGAGAGGCGAAATAAATGGCGTAAGTTGTCAAAAACCAAGTGAACCTCTTGTATCCGTGCAGAGGATTTAGTCGATCACTGATCCACCAAAGCTGATCCGAATCCTCAAGTAAGTTAAGTGATCAACGCACTCTTAACTGACTCACTTGTTAAATAAGGGGACCAACGCAGACTAATCTTGGAGCAACAATTTCCATTTGAGTAGCGAGAAACTTACCCCAAATATTTTCAAATAACCACCTTAAGGTGTCCAGAAAACTCAGAATCTTATCAACATCTTTATCTAACAGGTTAATATCTACCAAGGAATCTCTAGTGAGAGAGTGAATCCCTGTGAATTCAGACGACGAGGTGGGAGACCTCCATAAGCGAGTCCATTGTAAAATTAAACGAGGATGGAGAGAGTGGACAACGTTGATGAACGTTCGTGCTGTAGACAATGAGCCACACATATTGTATGAGGGTTAATGAAACTACCTAGCTGTCCAAACCTCGGTAAGTGGCGGAGTGTTTGAACCTTAAACCAACGAGGCGCAGTCGCAAAACAACCTTTATGGACACCTCTTGATGCACGCAACTTATGTGATAACCCTTTATAGGGTCTAACATACCCCTGGGTATTCGAATGCGAAGCCTTCAAAAGGGTGATTGATATAGCTACGTGACATAAGACCTCTTCATCAACAGAGTCGAATGCTGCTATCAGGCAACAAATAAAGCTAGTATTGGGTGTTAGAAAGTACATATGTTGAGAAACCTGGCGGAGAATGAATATACAGTCGATTGATGCTATACAACCAATGATTTCAACCATATTCTGATCTCATCAATTTCCAATACGACTCAGATCAAGATATGTATATACTACGCAATAATATACACATACAAGTTTTATAATAATGAAAAGCGAGGAATACACTTACAGAAAAACAACACGCTGTCAACAGATCGTCATCAGCCTCTCTAATAACTGCAGTCGGTTGGAATCTTCGATGTAAGAAGTGTCTAAGCTCTTTCGTCGAAGGTCTCAGTTTTAATGACCCATAATGATCTTCACGTAGAAGTAAACGTTGGCAACAATTAGTCTGTTTATTTGGTCGAGGTTCTGGACAACGATGTGGATAGTATAGAGAGAATTTTGGACAAACAGAAACAGGATGAGGACATTGAGAATGTTGATGCAGAAGAAATGATTCGACTACTTTAGACAATGTCATCTCAGAGACAGGTTGAATTGATATCGGTTTGAGATAGAGATTTGGTAAACCAGGTCTTTCAAATCTGTCACGACAAGGCTGATATGGAACAGTAATGATGATAATAATAATAGAGATAAATCAGTTTGTTTCAAAGTACAACAAATTATTGATTAAGGTACAAATTAAAACAAAAGTCTTTCAGAAGAGTCGCTAGCATAACAGCACATTAATTTTTGACTTGATGAGTAATGAATTATAAAAGTCCGTATATTGTTAATCCAATAAACGGACCGTAGGCGATAAAATAAATACCAAGAAAGTAGTTGGAGCTATATTTTATTGTAATGATAGTGTTTGAAGACCCCAGACTTGCATAAAACATTATTTGATCTCAGAGTGGAATTCATCATGGACTGACATCAGTTGGAGGAACATTGGAAACCCCGGGGTACTTGACAGCTGTTTCGTCCTAGTATGGGACTCCTCAGAGGTGCGCACCCATGACTCCGCCCTCCAGGGATCGGACCTAATTGATGTCGGTCCATGATGAGTTCGAACCTGAAATCGATTAATAAATCTACACAAACCCCCAGATTGAAAACATTATTTAATCTGAACATTTTTAAATTGAAGTTTTCGCGCCATTTTTATGCCATGGTCAGTAGTTTATTTTTGCTTCCATTTTCAAGGTAATTCGCTGATTGGTTTACTTTTATTGTTTCAAATTCTCAACAATGTCCTACGTCATGTACATATAAACATGTGTTTTTCGAATAATTGACTACTCTTTTCGGAGGAATAAACTTCCCCACCCAGCTCAGTCTTCGCTAAGAACATTCGCCTATAGAACTCTTAATTAATTCGGTCCTTTAAAGCCACTGTAAGCAACATCTAGATAATCATTCAATAGTGAATTTCTTCGCGTCCATTTTCAATTCAATCTATCCATGTGAAGAACCTTTAGGTAAACTCCTTTAAAACCTAGAAGAACAACAGTTTTGTTGGTAGTCATTGAGAAAAAGATCTTTTATTCAAATGAGTCGACTTCATTGTAGACAGTCAGATTAAAACATGGGTATTTGTGTTTTGAACTCAAACCACTTGGTTTTTAGATGTCTTAAAGTCAAATAGTTAGTATTGAGTTTTGTAGTATTAGACATAGAGATATGATTAAAGAATTTCTAGATTCTGTTTATTGTTTGTAGTAGATCAACAACCAAGACACCAATCGACAGTATGCCTTATTAATTGATTATATATTACTGTTCTGTGATAAACTTCTTACCTTCGGTGTTTGAATAGGAGTTGCACTATGTCGAATTTTAGTCAGCCTTAAACTTGGAGTTGGAGGAGGATCACCGTCACCAGTTGGGCCAATATTTTCAGTAGTAGAAATCATTGAATTTGATTCATTCAGATCTAAATCACGCTTTAAACCATTATATATATCAGTACTCGTATTTGTATAATCAGAAACATGGACAACTCCAGAAGAAGGTTGATATGGAGGTGTTTCACCAGGAGGTCGACTGAAATCATCATAAAGTGGTAGTTGACTAGGTGCAGCTGGGACAATTTTTAAACGGGCTTCACGTTGTAGTGCTGTAGCAGATTCATACAAACCTAGAAAAGGAAATGGACAACAACAACGAAAAAAAGACAGAAGTAGAAAAAACCTCAACTAAAAAGCACGAGTCTATTGTACAGTGACATTTTTTGTTACATAACTCTGTTCAAGATTGTAGATATACCTTGTAAATAGTTGTCCATAAGTAGATAAGCCTCTTACAACTGTTACTAAAACCTACTACAACAAATACAATGTAGGATGAATTCGATTCATTTAACCCAGTGAACAAGTACTCCTCAGTTCATAAACTTTGTCTGGTATCACGCATATTCCACATAGTTTACATTAAGAATAATCTCATGACATCGAATAGATCCCTGATGCGCCCTCAAAAGTAATAATTCATATCATTCAGCATAGCAGTTAGCCAAATTATCGCTCAAACTCTTGAAGTTCGACTTATATTTGCGTGCATTGTTGAAAAATAAGTCCTTAGATGCTAATACAGGTTTCCTCCAGATCCGGTGCACACGCTTCTGATGAGTATCAACAAGCATAGATAATGTATGCAAGCCTTCTCATACAATTGACAGACAAAAACCAACGTAGGATCTTGTACACAACTGCATCAGTTCAAGTTGACAAACTTCACAGTAGTATACAAACAAAAAATGGATAGCGAAAAAGTAATGTCAAAGTAGACAAAGCTGTGTGTGTGAGAGAGAATAAACAGTCTGAAGATCACCGTTAGTGAGAATAGTCAAATTTTAAAAGATGTAAGGAAGGGAAAACATCTACACCATTGTGACCGATTTTCACCTATCTCACCAAAAGTCCTCAGCCACTCATTCCTGTCGTCTCGACGATCACAACTGGGTAGTCTATATCGCCACACATAACTCAAACCAACAGTCAGGGACTTCACTGGCTTGTGACACGTCTTGGTCTGGCCACCCTGAAACCTCTTCCAACTCTCTCCAGTATCGCACGTCGAGACACGCAGTTACATTGCATGCGCAACATATGCCCAAGCCATCTCAGACGATGAAGGTTCACCACCTCATCAATCGATTTGCTTGTCTTGCCTAGTACCCTTCGCCTGACCTCAAAATTACTCACACAGTCATTCCATCACACACGACCTATGCTACGAATATATCTGTGATCAAAACCCAGTTATCGCCTCATATCTTTTACTCTTAACAGTCATGTCTTACCGACGTATAGTAGGACAGAACGGACTGCAGCACAGTATACTCCTCCTTTCACAGATAGTTGGATATCTCACTAATCGGCACCAAATATGATGCAAGTTGGCAAACGTCAAACGAGCCTTCTGTATATGAGCTGAGATTTCGTCAGTAACCAGCCTGTTCAGTGGGCTGATGCAACTCCTCAAGTCAGTGAAATGGTTGACACACTTCACCACATCGCTCACTATCATCATTATGCTTTGAGTACTTGTAGTAGACCAGTCCTGGAGCATCATCTTACATTTGATAGGTGCCAGTGAAATGCATGGCAAATATACTCAGATTTCTACGAAACGTGTTCAGGAGACCCTGCATTTTGTCAATATCTTCACCGAGTAGCGTATACCAAGTCGACCAGATGACCTCCTGGGTGTAGGTCAATCCATGTGAAGTGAGATATCCTGAGGGTTATGTCCATTAGTAAGTCTATGACGATGACAATGAGTATCCCTGTCTAACATCATTAGTTGTCGTCAATTTTGAAGATGACTCTCCATAAGCCCTGACACTACCAAACAGTTAATACACCAAGGACATATGAGTTAGGGTGCCCAGAGAAAATTTGTAGAAGCCATAGAAAGCGTTGACATAACACTGTGAGAAGTTAATTGTCATACCTAAACGCTACTGGATAATAACAAATCACAATACAATGGAAGAATATTATAATACACTGCAGAAACAATCATACCTTTGCTTTGTAAATGTCGATATATTAATTCTAGTAATTCTTCTTGATCCCATTGAATTCGTGTTTTAGCAACGATCTCTGCTCGACGAACACGTTCCAATGACATATCACCAGACAATACACCATCAGATAATGTTCCAACAACCAAGCGTATAAGCATGGTAGCATAACGACAGAATTCCGCATGTTCAGTTAATCGATCAGGTAGAACAGGCTCTTTCATTAGTACTACATGTACAGAATATAAATAAATTATTCAGGTGTATATAATGAATAATAACTTCGACAAATGATAAAAGTATGAGTTAGTTAGCTTCAATGAAAACGAAGAAAAACCTAAGAAGTATTAAAAAAAAACTTTAGATGGTGTCATCTAACAAACTGAATAGAGGAAAGTACATTCATCTGTATGTCTAATGGTGACGGTAAAACAGGGTTTTATCACACTCTTTTGTAATATAACTAGTATGTGTATGCGATAACAGACTGTCAGTCGCCTCATCACTATCAACATAGGACCAGGCATTACTGCCTCACGGTCCGAGTTGCCACACCTCATATCAGCACATCAAGTAAAAAGGTAGTGAGGTGAAGGATGAAGATAAGTGAATGCAGTCAAAAGAAATATAAAGTATGAGAAGAAAGGAAAGAGGAGTGATTAAATGGTGAGATTCGGTATAGCGTTGTTAAGATGAGGATAATGTGTGTATACATCTGCGCCACTGACTTCGGTTCTCACCCGTATCACCTAGGGTCTCCAACCACTGGTTTCTCTTGTCCCGTGGACCCCAACCACCTAGTCTGCATCGCCCCTACCCTACATGGATCAAACCAACAGTCAGAGACTTCAGACATTGGTGCCATGTTTTAGTCTGGCCACCTCGGGCCTTTTTCCAGCCTGGACCCACCTCAGCCAACACTGTGTGACGAGGCAATCGGTGACTAGGCATACATAGTACGTGTCCCAACCATCTCAGTCGATGAAGGTTCACAACCTCGTCAACTGACTTACCTCTTCTCCCCAAAACTCTACACCTAACTTCTGCATTACTCACATGGTAACACCACGGAATACGTCCTACACTACGAAGGCAACGGTGGTCAAAACACCTGAAGCCTTTTTGTATCCTCTACTTTCAATGGCCATGTTTCACAGCCATACAGTAGAACAGAGCGGACTGTTGTCAGTCGCCTGCATCCTAAGAACTTTACTCACAACTAGAGAGTTGTCAAATAATTCTATTTATAAGACTGTAGATTTCCTAACATTAATATGAAATGAATATTTGCTTCGTAGATTTAAAAGTAACATGTCTATAAGCCTGGAGGTAGTTGGCAGGAAACCTTGAAACTAGGTTTCGTGTTTATTGACACTCTTCAGAAAGGCGTACCTGTAACCTTGACGGAACGGATGTCGCTTGATGCTCAACCTATTGCTCCGGTGTTAAAGAGCTTACCAATGAACTATTCGATTGACGACCGATTTCTTGTCAGACTGGATTACATACACTAACTGATCAATGAAAGTAACCTATTTCATTTTGTGCTGACCGAATTCTAACGATCATTTTTTAATATGGTCACATTAACAAAAAAAATAACATTTCTATTTGTAAAACGATGACATCACTGACCGAGTAATTAAGCTCTTCTCTAGTAATGATAACTACTCAACTAAGATCGAATAAGTATTTATTGATATCAAGGTAGGATACATCACGAACCTGGGAGTATGAGACTCCTCTCAGCAGTACGGACCCACGACCCGGTTAGGGAATGAACTCAGGACCTTCAGGATTCACGGTGAACCTGTTCAACATTCAACCACTGGGTCGGAGTTCAATGGTTCACAGTTTTCAACTTCTGTCAATTCGCAATGTAGCGTGACTATTACCCAAGGTCTTCAGGTGACATCCGCTCCCTTCCCGACTGGTTGACCTCACAGGTAACGGAACACTTATTCGGGGGCCCCAGGTTGTCAATGGTTCCCCTACTAACGTTAATCCATGATGAATAAAATACATATTCATTCCAAAAACACATTTATTGATATGTTTGCCTTTTATAAACCTCAATATAACATTTCACCTAAAACCTCTAAACGTGTTAATCTAGTAAACAGTTATCTGCTTTAACTAAAAAAACACGTATTCACATGATATTTAATTAATCTATGGTAAAAGTTTAAGAAATTTACAAACACAAATACTTACATTGTAAAAGAGCTTTCGTAAACAATGGAAGTTTAGCTAGCATACTACGAACTTCTTCAGAGCGTGCAAGCCCAACTAATCCTCGACAGGCTAAAGTTCGAACACTATCAGCCTCAGATATAGGTTGTTTTGTTTCTAAATGATAAAGTAATACCATTATACCATGTTGTCGTCGAACAATATTCCATAATTTTGCTTGACGATAAAGAAGTTGAGTAGATTTTTGACGTCCAAAAGGAGATGGCATATATGATTCAGAATATGGAGCCATATATGTTCCTGTTTGTGAAGGTGGAGTTGATGGTCGATTGATTCGAGTACTATGATTTGATGATATAAAAGGACTTGATGGTGTTAATGTATCATCATGACGGCGTTTACGATTCACTGAACTACGAATACCAGTTGTACGCTGTGGGGTCTTAAAAAAATTGAAATTATCAGACGTGTAATATCAAAACCAAGGTAAACTCTGCAAAAATATGCACTGAACGAAATACAGTACAATGCACCAAGAACTAAGTAGTGAATACCTATTCCACCTCTTCTTTCTTATATTTCCTGAGTGTTCAACTGACCGAAGCACATGATAAAAACTGCTTCCCTAAAGACGTTAGTCATTCCGACTCTACAATGAGTAGGATTTCAAATTACTTCTAAAAATTCTGATATATATATATATATATATATATATGAAGATACACAAATATAACCGGTTTATTTAACAGAGAACCATTTGTTAATCCAACTCATTTGTAGGACATAATGTCAAAGAATTGAATGGCATGAAAACGACCATTCATACAAGCAGAGAATGAATCTACAAGGATGCAGTTATGTCATGACCTTGGTTGTTCCCAACCCTAATCAGCATATTCGAACGAAGTGAAACGCAACCAGCTACTTTAGGCACATCCGTGAAGTAGGCAGTGAGGGCTAGTGATACTAACCGGCTGCTCAAACCTCGACAGATGGAGTGGGAGTCGAACCCGTGACCCAATGGTTAATAGTCATCTTCCTAAACCACTGAGCCAAAGCTCTATTATCAGCTTATTCTCTGTATTAAGAATGATTCGTCGACAAAATCCAGCCTATAAGGTAAACATTCTACTGATGAACAATACTACACACCCAAGATCATTTGATAAGTGGTTTCGTAGGCCACACTTCGTTTGATGTATATGGTTTTAACTTTGTATAAAAAAGTATAAGATAATCGAAAATAATCATCATCAATAGAACGAAGAACAACAACAATCACTGGGTAAGTAATTTAAGGTCGGTAGACTGAAACCCATCTTCAAAGTAACCAATAAATAAAAGTAATGACTTGTAACCTATGTACTGAATCAGTTGTCCCCCCTCCCCTATACGCTAGTTTTGAAGTGTGACTTTGGGGGGGGAGGGGGGCAGTTATAACAGGTTACTCTTCAAAATTAAGAAAATCCTCTTTGAACTATCCAAGTTTTAAATCCAAGACTATCTCGATTAGTCTAAGAACTTATACCCACTATTCAAAAGTGACCGTCATTTCACGGTTCAACAAGTCTGGTCAATCGATTTTATCAGCAAGACCAACCTCCGAAATCTCGAGGGAACAATCGATCAGTATTAGCATGAGACCTAGCATTATTGCATAACACTTCAAGTTGTAACATCTCGCATAGGTGTGTCCGTAGGTATGATATGCGTTTTGTACCATCTTGACAGGAGCTTGTGTCTGCACTCATCCTTGGTGGTGAGTCATTGGAAATAGTCGAAACTTTCGTGCATATCTGAGTAGTCGTGTGAGTGCTGGTGGACTTGCGAGTGGTGAAATTTCCAACCGCATATCGAAAACCACATTAGCATAAGTCAATCTGGATCACCTTTGGTGCCGTCATGATGTTAGTCTGACCGTAATAGGTCAGGTTTACAACGTTTCGATGCGAGTTCTGCTCTACAACTGTGAAACCCGGAGTCTACGAGCTGAGGATGGTGATAATAACAATCGTAACAATCATGAACCTCACCTAGTTAACTAGTTCATTAGTTACTAGCCGGTCCTAAACTCTGATAAAGAGGAAAGGTTTGGCATAGGCATGCCAACCCTACCCCGTAAAACAAGTCCAGTCGCTAAAGAAACTTCAAAGCACAAACAAAATATTAAAAAAAATTAAATTAAACTTATTTCTCGCTGCAAATGAAAAGACGAAATGACGCCGATTGGTGAAAGCCTTCGGGAAGCCAATCGGCCAATGTGTCTTCTTTCCCTCGATGAAAGCGAAAGTAAACATGGGGACACGGAATGTCCGCACCATGTATGAACCTAACAAGGCTGCCCAGATTCCCAAAGAGATGAGAAGGTATTGTATAGAAGTGCTTGGAATCTGCAAAATCAGACAGAATGGAATGAAAGTGGACTCTCCAAACTGTCAGCTGGAGAGGAGTCAATAATCTACTCCGATATTGTCACTCAGACTACAACCACGAGCATACTGAGTTTTCGAGTAGATATCGTGATGTCCCTAAAAGCATCGAAGGCCCTCACACAGTGGGAACCAATCTCCTCAAAGATAAGGATCATGACAGCAAGGTTCAAATCAAAAGGAAGGAAAGTCACAATCATTCAATGCTACGCTATGCACCTACAAATAATGCAGATGAAGAGAAGGAGGAATTCTACAGACAATTGCAATCAGTTATGGACAAGACCCTACCCCAGATGGCGACATCAAAATTCTAATGGGCGACATGAATGCCAAACTGGGAGCGGACAACACAGGGTTGTTGTGGAGCCAGGTCCAAAAGACTGAAGAGAACAGAGTGCACAGGAGACGTGCTACTGAAGCCCTATGTTCCACTAGGAACTATGAAAATAATGACAGCAATAATAATGAAAACATTGATACTAATAATTATAACAATGATGGTAATGATAATAATGTTGATAACAGTGATGGTGATGCTTGTAATGATAATAATCATAATAATAGTAGTGACAATAGTAATAATAATAGCGATGAAGGTAAACGGTGCCAAGATGAAAGACAGCAAAGGGGGAAGAAAGTAGTCAATAGTAGAAGAAAGTTATGAGAAGATACGAAAAATGAATAAAACAATAACTCGATGAGACAGAATAGTATAAACGAAAGGCAATATAGTATACGGGATGTGTCAGAAACTTACCTTGAATGAATTACTAATCGAAGGTGAAGTATTCATTGAATTTCTTGGAGGTGGTGGTGATGATGGTGCAGCAACATTATTTCCCATATTCGAATTCGGTAAAGATGTGAAATTTGACAAGAGACCTGTTACTGCAATCGGTTGGTCTGGATGTTCATGTTCTACAACTGGACGATACACCAATGTGCATATAAACGCTAAGACAGCTTTATGAACTGATACATCCCAGTTATCATCTTCACGAGAAATACTGAATAGCATACTGGAATATAATCAGAAACACAATTGATATCAAACAATTCACAATACAAAATAATTGTTATCAAGCAAATTCACCTCGAAAGAGTTTCGATACAAACATTTTGAGTCAATCCCCTATAGAGTAAGGAACAATGAAGTTCTAACTTGACCCAGTATAAGTATATCAAACTGAAATGTCAAGATAAAAAGATCATACGACAATAAAACAACGAAAAGGTGCTCAAGTAGCCAAACTATTTATCAGAATTCTTCCCAGGTCGAGTAGCATAATTACTGGAGTGGAGTTACGGCTAATCTGCTCCTTTCCTATCTAGAAGTAATCAAGCTATCTAAAATAACAAAAATTAATCTGTGCAATCTGTTAAATGGAAACATTAAACCAATAGTATACTGAAATTTAATATTGATGAACAGAACTTTAAGTTGGTATCTATCATGGACTTATATCAGTTGGAGGAATATTGGAAATCTGGAAAACACTGCACAGCCACTGTTTCGTCTCAGTATGCGACTGACTCTCCAACAGTGCACACCCATGAACCCACCTCGTCAGGGATCGAACTCAGAACCTTCAGGTTCCGTGACCAGCACGTTATCATTGAGCCACTGGGTTGGAATCCAATGGTCCATATTTCCTACTTCTGTTAGTTCACGGCATATCGCGACCACCACCCATTGTCATCATTGAGTAGTTGTCCCCACAGCCATCAGGTTTACACCAACGGTCACCACTTCTAATCCAAACTTCAAAAATCCCAAATCCCAAAAGTCAATCGATCTACTACTCATCGGTGACTAACTTCAACAGGTGATTCCTGAAGTTCTAATGAGAAGTCGTCACCGCTAGGGCGAACCTGGTGACCATGAGGACAAATACGCAACGATGACATTGGCTGATAGTAGTGCTATGTCGTGAACTGACAGAAGTAGGAAATATGGACCAGTGGATTACGACCCAGTGGCTAAATGGTAAAATGCCGGCAACAGAACTTGAATGCACTGGGTTCGATCCTAAGTGGGGTCATGAATGCGTACTGCTGAGAACACACATATTGAGACGAAACAGCTGTCCAGTGCTCCCAGATTTCCAACCTTCCTCCAACTGGTGTCAGTCAACGATGAACACCCACATGAAAAATTCCTGAATCCCGACACCACTACTTCTGCCCCAGTATACAGCTGTCAGACAAACTGCATTTGATCATCTGAAAAGATCAATGGTTTTTTATTCTAAGTGTCTTCTTAGAATTGCCCACAGGTGTGGCAAACTCGCATTCATTTAATATATCTGAAAAGAAAAACTATAGATACACCAACTAAGATATTCACTAATTTACTTTTTGTACACTTTTAGTGGGCATATGCTGTTTGACCGATGAAAAGACCCTAGAAGATTTGGATTTAGCTGCCGATGGTGATTTATGTCTAATGTCTTGTCACACAAACTCGAAGATCTACACGCAAAAACTAACAAGTTCACACAAGAGGCAGGGCAGAGAAGACAGGAATTCCTTCAGGTGGATGTAGAGAAGACAGAGGTGATGAAGATACTCAACCACCAACACCAACATCACCACCAACAACGGCAACAAGCCCCAATCACCATGAACGGGAGAAACCTAAAGGAAGTAGTCTCTTTCACCGTTTGGGGACATCACGTTCCAGGCCAGGCCGTCGAGTGGAATCCAAATGGGAAACAACGAGTTGGGCGTCCCAGCTTAGGGTGACATAGAGGAGATGGTGAGAGGAAGAAATGAAAGCTTGTGGGCAGTCGTGGAGCCAGGTTTAAAATACTGGGGAGAAAAGAGTGAAATGGTGACGTGCTAGTAAAGCCCTATGTTCCATTAGGAACTCAAAAGACAAATAATAATAATAACACTCTTTGATTGTTAATCATGATTGTTGAATTTATTCCTCAATATGAAAAGAATATGAAATACTCTCCTTAGAAGTGATAACCACCTTATAGTCCCTTTCTATAATTAAGGGAATATTAGTTTCGGCGAGAGAATTTAGCGTGATTTAACTAACCCGCTACTTCCGAAGTAATTAGTTTGAGTAGACTTTCAGCGATAATACTTTAGACACTTGTATAATACCTGAAACAATTCAAAAATTATTACCGATGTACATATGAATATACCAATAAAAGTGTTAGAAACTATGAACTATAAAAAAAAAGAAGAAAACTTACTGTAAACCATTGATACGTTCATCTAAAGTGGAAGAGCTTTCTGCAGCATTTTCTTCACCATCACTTGTTCTTTCTTGAGGCCTAGAAGCAGATTCAGGAGTAAAATTTGAGCCAGTGGCTTGAACAGAATTTAATCTTGGCTGATTTTCTGTTGGTATGGCTGAATGTGATGCAGTCCCACTATTTTGATTCTCAGATCTTCTTAACACTGGTCGTCGCCCATCCTCTCGACTCGATTCCCGTACAATACCTTCATTACCAACCTGTTCAACTATCTGAAGTAACTGGTTAATTAATCCTCGACGATGTGTAGGACCACTTCCACGTGGTGAAGGCAAATGAACGGTGACATCAGCTGAACCAAAGTCTGAAGTTGGACTATCTTCTCCACCTCCTAGTGATGAAAGTAATGGAGTAGGACCGAGAAATGTTGCTGAGCCTATACTACTAGGAAATGAGTAAACATCAGCAACAACAATCTCATCAGCTAAATCATAAGTTATAGACATTAGGTTGAGAATATCTACAGCCAGTCGAGTACATTCACTACGACACGGCCAGTTGTTATGTGCATATACGTTGCGTGCAATAATACGATACAGTACATCAATAGCACCACAATCTCTAAGTTGTTGAATAGGCTGCCAAACAGTATCTGGACGAATACGAGAAACTATTAAGGACATAAGTCGAGAGAATTGTTCAGCAGTATATGTTATCGGCTAGAAAGAAATTTTAAAAAATGGAAGAAAATGTAAGCCAAACGAAAAGAAAAATAATAATAATAATAATAATTTAAAAGCGCAAAACGTTATTTTCTAAGAATTATAGCAAGCTGTATAAGTTAAATGGATCTTATATTTCTAGAGCTATGATAAAAATAATCATTGAGCGTCTCTATCTACGGATTATGATCACAGTCGACTGTTCTTTATTAAAGATACTCAAATAAGTGATTATTTCAACAGTTAACAGCCTGGCTATGAGAGTCACCCTAAATTAAATGACATTAACACGATAGTTAAATAAAGGAAGCAAATGAAATAACAGTACTATAGTCAAGCAAATAAAGTGATCTAATCTTGGTTACACAGAAATTAACAGATGAAGTGCTTACTTCTAAGTCATTTACTTATGACATTGCAAAAACCACTTCCTCCCAACTCACACAGTTGCTCACAAAGCATTGAAGTTTTTGACATTTTTTTGGGGAGGGGGGGTTATTCATTTCAAGTTGGCCATCTTCATAGACTGACACCCGTAGGAGGAATATGGGGAATCTGGAAGCATAACACAACTCTCTCGTCCTAGTATCCAACTCCTCACCAGTCCACACCCATAACCACCACACCCACCCACCCCACCCCACCCCCTACCTCATCCCACCACGGATACAACCAACAACCTTCACCTTACACAAACAACACCTTATCACTCAACCACTCAGTCACACACACACACACACACACACATAATCCAATGCTCCATATTTATAACTCATGTCACTTCACCATATAACGCAACACACATACAATGTAGTCGTCCTGCACTAACCATACTCATCTTACACTTGGCTCAATCAACTCCTCACCACTTCTCATAGGAACTTCAACAGTCACCTAACAATACAAGTTAGTCAACAATCAGCCCTACATCATTTCAATTCAATTTTGAGGTTTCATACAGATTTATTTATTCATTTCATCGACTGACATCAGTCGGAGGAATATTGGAAATCTGGGAGCACCACCGTTGGTGTGATCGTATAACTCATTCCGTAAATTTAATCAATTGTGTTAGAAGAAGAAATTTTCTGAAATAACTCGTCACACCTTATTATGGACATGTTACTGTATCAAATCATACGCCACTCCTTATCCACCCTTAACACTCACACATTGATGACTCACTCTACACTTAATAGAACCAACCAGTAGTATAATGGCAATGACAAATTACTATAAACTGTAATAATTCACATTTTACAATCATATAGTAGAATATACAGCATTATCACTTCAACCATAACTTTCTTCGTTGTATTGTGTTCTCTCAGTTGAGTTGTTTAATCATGGAGCTTTCATCGTCATTCTACACAACATCTTCAACACTAACTTCAGGATGAAGTGAACTGTCAATATTTCTCCGTGAGTAATTTAATAGCCTGCCTTGACCAAGTGCTTTGTGATTCCTTGTTGCCTCTGATTGTTGTATCATTGACCGCATAGATGTTCCTGTTAGCTGTTCCTCTGCTTCACCTCTGACCTCTCTGTCGTTTAGCATTTTTCTTAGTGGTTCGTAGATTCAGTCTATATCTACACATTTGTTGATTGCCGATTGGTCTGAATCCCAACCTTCTAGGAATTCTCTCGTATTCTTTATGTTTCTTTTGTCCAAGATTTTTACATTCTCAAAATTCAACTTATGTCCATAATTATCCACATGCATCGAAATGAGTGATGAAATGTTGTGACGTTTAATATCCAATCGATGTTCATGTAGACAGAGATGAAGAGGGCAACCACTTTGTCCAATGTAGTGTTGACTACAGTTATTTCAGTTGATTTTGTAAATGATATTCGGTTCGTCTTCTTTGATTGTTGCATCCTTTGGTCTGCATAATAGGGTTCGGAGGGAATTTGTTGGTTTATGAATGGCCACACAAATTCCAAGTGGTCTCAGTAATCTTGTGTGATCTCTCATATATTCTTTATGTATGGTAGGATGGTTCGTTGATTGATTTCTGTCGATGACTTTGTAGGTGATGATGTACGGGATAGGCATCTTCTGATAAAGTTTCGTGGGTAGCCGTTCTTTCTTAGGATAGACATCAAGTAATTTTCTTCATTTCTCCGTGAAGTTGTTGTACTGTGGTGTGTAACACTTATAATAGAAAATATGAAGGCTGAGAAGTTTAAAATTCCAGTAATGAGATGTCATTCAAGTTATGCATTACTTCAAATGAGATATTGGGATATATCATTGTTCGCTTCACAATACAGTGTTTATTGGAATGAAAGCAAGAGAATAGAAGTCAGAATGATCACTAATCTATGAACTTCACTGTTTTGTGTTCGCCATAGTACACCTGTATAGTTTACTGGCGTAATTTTTAAATGCGATAGCTTCACGTAATGTAGAAATAAGTCAATTTCGCATATATTAGAAATTTCAATTCGATAAAGAACCACTGGAAAAGAAAACCCTCCCCAAGTGAATGTAAAACGCTGTTAAACTGAGTACTATGATCTTGAATGGAATAAAAGGATAAGCAGGATAAAATGAGAAATATATGCCTAAATAACTCACACGATATCCAGCAGCAGCTACAGCTCGTGGAGACTCATCGAACAAACTTGCCAAACTAGGGTCAATTGTATCAATCCATAACAATAGACTAATTTCTAAGAAACGACGAATAGCACATAGACTTGCACGAACAACATGCCATGAAGTTGTATCTTTCAAAGTGGTTGGATTATCTTCAGTCAGTCGTAATGGTAGGACACATATCTACAAATTTAAACAAAAAGATGCATGTGAATATGGTTTTAAAAAACCTAAAATAACGAGTACAGTTTACGGCTTGTAAACTTACGAAAAATAACGCCAATAATAAAATAACACTAATTATTATTCTTATTAGCATGATTCAGCTTCGTTGATATTTTTTAGGCATATGTGCGCTTGGTTGTTATATGTCTATTATGTATTATTAAACCATGCACTCCATTGTGCAAATCGAAGGCAAACTGCAGTTTGAATCTGTGAGGAGCTGTTTAGAAGCAGAACCATAAAGTAGATGAACTGCTCCGATTAACACGGTCTGGAAGCTGTGGCTCAGTGGTTTAGGGAGGTGACCACCACCATTGGGTCACGGGTTCGAGTCCCACTTCACCTACTGAGGTTCGGGTAACCAGATGGTATTACTAACCCTTATACAATAGATGTACCTCATTACCTACTTCACGGATATGCACAAAGTAGCTGAGCGCACTTCGGTGTTTTTTATTTATTTATAGAAAGACAGATTACCAACCATAAACCTTCATCATAAGCCCCATAATCAGTTTCAGTATATGACACAGCAAAAGAATATAAGATTTAGGTACAATAGCACACTACATTTCTAAATGATAAAGAATGAAGTGAAACAGGATGTTCAAAGTACGGCATAACAGAGTGAGAGTATTCGCACTTGTGCAGTGGATATTGAAAGCCAAGCCACATAAAGTCTGTAACTGCTTATTTCTACTATCCCAGCCTACTCTAACCATTATTTAACAAAATAGAAAAACTAGTCATCACTTCAAGATGAGCCATATCACAAGTCAATATCAGTTGAACAATCATATGAAGATGAGGGAGTAGAGAAGCATTTTGTTAAGCGATCTTAGTAATGCAAATATACATCTTTCATTATTCCATTGGGGACACAGTATCTAAAACGTGCTATTATATGGTTTACGATGAAGATTTCAGCCATTGAAATAGATTTGATTGTTGTAACGTCAGATAGGGAAACTCATACCGCCAGCATCGGAGGGCCAAACGGTAGGGAAGAGTATGCTGTTGCCTTGACGTTTTCTAACCCCTCTCCCACTGTATAGGGAAGGCACAATCAACATGGTACTGCCGGTCATCCAAGGGAAACATTTTACTACTGTCAAACCACTGTTTAATCAGCAGTGTGACTTCGCCCTCAGACCTCATTATAGTGTAGAAATTTACACTGCAATGACAAAGGCTTTTTTGTCTCATGACTATCCAACTGACCTTAATGGCATAGTAAACCTCGAACGGAAAAGTGTTCCAGCCAGTGCAACTCGTTAAGTCACTGTAACTACAGTCCTAACCATCATTTCAAGACAGCAGCTTGGGTCAGGCTCAAAGCGATCAGACCAACACGTGGCACCAGTCCGTGAAGTCTCTGATTCCTGGTCTCAACCGTGTACGGATATGTAGACTACTCGTGACTATAGGAATTAGTAGTTGAAGACTCTTTCTGACATAGCTGAAAATCTGTCACAATGGGGCAGATGTATTCACTCCTGGACATCTTCCAACGATTAAAAATTTCCATTAACCTTTATCTCCAAAGTGTTTACTCTCTCATACACCTTTATCTACTTCTCTATCCTTAAGTTTTTGCATGCCACTGTGAAATATAGCAACCTGAACCGATTCACTTCTGTGCAAAGTTCTACATTGATTTTGTCTGTCTGCCTGACTGGAATAGATTTTAATAGCCTAAATTACGACGGCCTGCTTAAACTCTAGGCTAGCGAAAAGCTTCCACCAAATATATTTCATCAAATTCTTCCTTTTCAATCTCTAATAATCTTTTAAATATGTTGTTTAGACGCATAGAGTACTCTTGCACACTTTTAAAATGGATTCAAGTTGTGTTTCTTCAAGCTAATAACAAATCAAAGAATAAATAATGCGACAGAGAGAGATGGGCTTATAAAGGCACAGAAATTATCATTATATTATTCGTCCCTTGGGTTCCAAATGGAACATAGGGCTTTACTAGCACGTCACCATTTCACTCTTTTCTCCCCAGTATTTTAAACCTGGCTCCACGACTGCCCACAAGCTTTCATTTCTTCCTCGCACCATCTCCTCTATGTCACCCTAAGCTGGGACGCCCAACTCGTTGTTTCCCATTTGGATTCCACTCGACGGCCTGGCCTCGAGCGTGATGTCCCCAAACGGTCTTCTCACTCTATGTCTAATCTAATCCAATCCAATTCATCTCCACTCTCTTCTTCTGCATATTTGTTGGATGATGGCTTCTTGCTTCGTTGGTTCGTTGCCAGCCAGTCAGCCAGCCACCAGAGTTCCTTGTTCCTTATTCTTATTATTCTGGCCATCAATCCATCTCACCTGGTCTTCTGTATCGAGTGAGCGTAGGTGGCAGTTATTGATGTATATCTGTGTTTGTTGGAAATGCTTTTTGTGACGCACCAAGTTTCTGAACCATCACATAGAAGCACTGACTTACTTGACTGAATTGGTGTTTAGAATCCGGATGTTGTTCACGCTTTATAGTTGTTGAGTGAAGTGCAGTAGCCCTGCACACTGATCATCTCAGATCAATGCAGGAAGGCCTGTGTTGCTGTCTTTCCGATCCTGGCTGGCTTTGACGTCTTCATCTGTGCCACCGCCGCCGCTGCCACCTGTGGTTGAAACGATGCTGCCTGGTTAGGTAGATAGGTGGAAGAGACTACTTCCTTTAGGTTTCTCCCGTTCATGGTGATTGGGGCTTGTTGCCGTTGTTGTTGGTGGTGTTGGTGTTGGTGGTTGAGTATCTTCATCACCTCTGTCTTCTCTACATCCACCTGAAGGAATTCCTGTCTTCTCTGCCCTGCCTCTTGTGTGAACTTGTTAGTTTTTGCGTGTAGATCTTCGAGTTTGTGTGACAAGACATTAGACATAAATCACCATCGGCAGCTAAATCCAAATCTTCTAGGGTCTTTTCATCGGTCAAACAGCATATGCCTATCTTCTCACAGCTCCTCACGGTTTGCTGCATGATCCAGTCGGTCACAATCAGGAAGATGATCGGTGATAGTAGGCAGCCTTGTCTTACCCCTATCCTCACTTCAGAGGCGTCGCTGAGCTTTCCATTGTGAATCACTCGGCATGTGGCGTCTTCACATAGCTTTCCAATGAGACACAGAAATACAGTACGCTAAGTGTGCTGAATTGAAGATTTCGATACTGGCTGAATAACCTACCACTACCAAAATTCCGCTCTATATTCGTTTCGTTTACCAGTCCAAATCAGACGCTAAAATAACACCAGGTGTCTGTTTCACATTGAGGCTTTTAGTACTGTTATTATAAACATTACTCAAATGTAATGATTATTCCGTTGAAAAATATTTTACTGGGAATGAATTCCTTTAGATGCTGAGAATTCCATACTGTACCATAAGTCTTGTTTGGAACAAAGCTATCACAATTAATTAATTCGAAACATAGTGCGAGGACTAAGTTTGATGTCAAGGAGGATTATTAATGTATGACGTCTAGAAATCTTAAAATAAAGTGAAACGAATGAATTTAAAATGCTTTTTTGTTTCCAAGTAAAGAGTTAGATGTACTTAGATACACCTATGATCACTTAGTTCAGGTAACGAATATCAGAGAGAAAGTGAACAATATTACTTTAGTTTCCAACGTACTTTTCTATGATACAAGATGCGCAAGATATCATTACAACAACTTTCTTGACTTGACTTGATCTCCTTAACTGCATAGTAACATTTCCAGACAATATATGATCATATTTATGCGTTTAACTGTTTAAAACACGGTTAACAACTTTCAATCAAGCTTACTCTTCATATACAGTTTAAAATGTATGACCCATGCTTCCATTTAAAATAGGGTAAGAGATTATCGTTGGAGACCTCAAAAATCAACAAGCTGAACAGATATGAACATTCTGGGTCAAGTAAAAGCCACTCCTGAGTCATGTTTCCTAGAGATGAAGTGTAGGCAACAAGTATTTCGATGTCCAATTTATCATAGAATTCAGACACTAAAAGACCCGATTATCAGGAAATAGTGAATGATGTTTGTTTTTTCGATAGTCATAGTCATAATATGGATGATGGCTATTTCGTCGGCTGAATACCATTGCACTCAAGTGAGTAACTGTGTTCATCGAAAAAAAAAACTATTCCATTAGATTTCTGGTTATATTTTTTTTCCCCTATATCATTGGCAATGGTTTCAGAGTAAGACAAAATTGATAAAACTGTACGAGTGACAAATAATGACGGTAAAGGAAATCAAAATAGAAAATGGGATAAAAATGAAAATGATTGTTGATCATGCGATGGGATTTAAGGATTATTTGATGCATTGATGCTTGCCACTTATCTGAACAAAACAAGCTGGTAATTCTTGATGTAAAGAATGCAAGAAGTCAATGTCGAATCGAAGAGATATCTGCTGGATATCTGTTACTAGTGTTAACTTCTAGAGAACAGCACATACACACACACACATACACACAAACACAGAGTGGAACCTGTTAGTCAACAAGAAAAGTCACCATGCGATGATCAGGTCAATCTGAATATACCGCTAGATATCAGCTATTTATACTAAAATTATGTTTCCTGTGAGTAATTATCAAGCTTACTCTTCACATACAGTCTAAAATGTATGACCCATGCTTCTATTTACAATAGGGCAAGAGATTGTCATTGGAGACTTTTTCGATGACTTTTGTCTAACGTCACACAAACTTGAAGATGTGCAGGCGAAAACTAACAAGTTGACAGAAGAGGCAGCGAAGACGGGACTTCCTTTAGGTGAACGTAGAGAAGACAGAGGTGATGAAGATACCTAACCAACACAACCAACAACAACAAGCTCCAATTACCATCAATGGGAGAAACTTAAAGGAAGTAGCCTCTTTCATTGACCACCGAGGCAGCATCGTTTCAACTATAGGCGGCACAGACGAGAATGTCAAAGTCAGGATCGGAAAGACAGCAAGACAGGCGTTCATTAACCTGAAACCCACATGGAGATCTTCTGCACTTAGCATAAAGCGTGAACAACATCCGGATTCTAAACACCAACGTCAAATCAGTGCTTCTGTATGACTCAGAGACTTGGCGCGTTACGAAAGGCATTTCCAACAAACTACAGACTTATATCAACAACTGTCTACGCTAGCTCGTTACCGAAGATCAGATAGCCAGGAAAACAAGAATAAGCAACAAGGAACTCTGGAAACGAACGAACCAAGAACCCATCACTCAACAAATATGCACTGGAAGGAAGTGGAGATGGGTTGGGCATACACTGAAAAGGTCGACTGGGGACATCACGCACCAGGCCAGCGCCTCGAGGGGAACCCCGATGAGAAGCGACGAGTTGGGCGTCCAAGCTGAGAGTGACATGGAGGAGATCGTGTGAGGAAGAAATAAGAGCTTCTGGGCTGTCGTGCAACCAGGCTCAAACGTTTGCAGAGAAGAGAGAGTAATGGAGACGTGCTACTGAAGCCCTATGTTCCATTAGGAACCCAAGGGACAAATAAATAATAATTATTATTATCATCAAGTGAATAAATTCCAACCGGTCTATATCAATTTACATTGAAACACACTTACGGCATTATACAGATATACTAAACCGTTCTGTTGTTCAAATCTTCGAAATGTTATACCATAGCATAGGACTAAGTGTAAGAAAAATAGAGAATAACACCGAGCCGAAGGATGGGAGCATTCTACCAGCCAGAGTGAATATTTGATCAAATCATCAAGTAGATTATTGGATAGCTGACAAACCTGTGAAAAAAAGATAAAAAGAAATAAACCATAATAAATATCATACAAAACATGACAACATATTGAATGTGTAAGTTAATGATGCTTTACTCCTAATGACTGATTTATTAACAATAGCCGACTGACTTGTGTTGGTCGACAAGTCCTGTTTTGCTGTTACTCTACAATACACCCTGAAGGTCACCCAGCGATTGTTGAGATCACCAATCAGATTTCACTATTTTGGCAGAGAAGGTAGTTTTTTACAAAATGGAGACGCCTGGTTCGCTATCTCAATAGTTGCCACGGTGACCTTCAGAGTCAGTCGTGTCTACAACTCTATCCGGTACAGATGTACGTACTGAGTTATGGAGCTATAACTATTGTGTGACTGCTTATAATATTAACCTGCTGCCCAGACAGAAGTAGGTGGGGCGGAAATTGAACCTTGAACCCATTACTTGAAAGTCAAATGCTTTAGCCAATGAACCATATCTCCGTTCATCTGACTGGGACACTTCGATATTCTGGACAATAGACTGCGATAAGAGCTGCAGGTATGTTACTAAGTGACTACGACGTTTAGAGCGACGGTCGCTGCGTTCGTCTCATCACAAAAACGAACGTTCAAAAGAATATAACATTCGTGAACTTAAGTTTTTCTGTCCATTATCTCATTGCTGTAATGATTTCTATGTATAGATTAATTACAAGATTCTAGACAGGTCAGAAGTATGCTGTGGCCATTTTTAATAATGTTGAATAAGGCTGTGATAATCATGAAGATATTCGACTCCTTTTTTGAAGCACCTTCAGTCAAAGATTAGAGGTTACACACTAAGAAAGTGGAGTCATTCTGCAATGAAGTAAAAATCATGAGTAGAGTGGATCCTTACCAACTCTGCAACAATGGTTAATTACAATGACACCACTTGATGTCTTCCGGTCTAGCCTGTTTCTGTGTGAAACTCTCTACATCAGTATGTTTTAGAAACTGAACTGACTGTTGTTACGATAACAATATATAAACTGATCTGACTTGATATTTATCACCGATTTGAACTGAAGACTAGAAAATATATAACCTTGACACACATAATCCCCACATTTTGGGCACCTCACTGTCCAAATATGACTGCGCTTCTCAACGCACTACCCACACCTATGAGTCAATCAACTGAACTAAGTCCAAGACAAGATATTTGTAACCCTTCTTCTTCGCCCACTGTGAGATGCGGAGGCAAAGACAAACGGTTCACTATCCTTATATATTCACAATCTGACTCATTCATGTTTACAATTGAATTACATGTCCACAAAGCACTGTAATTCATTAAAATAGAATAACTAATTTCATACATGGAATTAAGAAAAATACACGAAAACCGATTTCATTTAACATACAGTTATTCCTATGGGATAAACAGAGGAGTCAATAAATAGCTGTACAGTTGAACCATACAACGATGCCAGAAAATAAGTGTAAAGAGTCTATTAGAAGAAATGAGACAATTTGATTGATAACGCTTATCTGAGAGCCATATTTTCGTTTCCTTGGTCTGCTATAAAAGTTGTCTAGAAGTATGCACAGTTCAAAAAGATGAGACTGTATAGAAAACACTTGACTGATACAAACAGATAAGAAATGCCATGTTACCTCAGATAAATGAATTACTAACATTTCGAATACAGACAGAGAATGTTAGTGTTCACCTCATCACAACACTTTCGGTGTATATGGAATGTTCAGTGAAGACTACTTGAGATAAGATGTGTACTGCACTGACACCACCATGTATAGGCGTAAGCGAAGATTGTTGGGTATTCAGTAAGTAGGCGCTCTAGTCTCAGTACTCTAATGAACCACTGAACTAAAGTGATCAACTTAATGAAATGATAAATGAATAACAAACAAGATTGTGTGCATAGTATTCACCTATGTTAAACAACCATTGCTGAATTAAGAATAGGGTTGAGAAGATTTAGTGTCACAATACAAAGATGTGACTACCAACCTGTAAAAACATACAAACTTACAGTTCTTGTCATAATTCAATCAAAACCCTAGTAAAGGTTAGCAGTCCTAAATCCATTTGCAGGTCTGTGAAACGAGGATATCGATCATTAACACAGAGTGACATCAAGACACATGTGAGTTAGCGAAGGAGTATATGACACTGCACCAAACAAAGTAGTCACGAAGCAAAGCAACACTACATATTATTACTTACTCCCAAATGACAGATTAATCAAGTTATAGAGGTAATTTTAAAGCCTTCCATAGACAAGACTTTTAGAAATGTCGAGTAGAAATCCTTTAAACAATGAACAACAATCTTGTACAGCTGTGGTCCTGTCAACTTAGACAATCGGACTTTCAAACATCATCATTATCATCATTATCAATGTAGGACCAGGCATTACTGCATAACGGTCTGAGTTGCCACACCTCATATCAGCAAATCAAGTAAAAAGGTAGTGAGGTGAAGGATGAAGATAAGTGAATGCAGTCAAAAGAAATATAAAGTACGAGAAGAAAGGAAAGAGAAGTGACAAAATGGTGAGATTCGGTATAGCGTTGTTAGGATGAGGATAATGTGTGTATACATCTGCGCCACTGACTTCGGTTCTGAGCCATATCACCTAGAGTTAGCCTCCAACCACTGGTTCCTCCTGTCCCGTGGACCCCAACCACCTAGTCTGCATCGTCCTACATGGCTTAAACCAACAGTCAGAGACTTCATACACTGGTGCCATGTTTTAGTCTGGCCACCTCGGGCCTTTTTCCAGCCTGGACCCACCTCAGCCAACATTGACTTTCAAACACTGAACCAAGAAGTTTGAATTCAACTCCATTTATATAGATATAAGCAATAAAAATGATGTCAATAGCCCACCTATCATAGATATGGTTAATACGTTAATAAGAAACCTTTATGCGGCTTCAAAATTCAATTCAATTCAGATAGACTGATTGACCTTAAGAGTATAGTGCATGTGAATCAAACTTACTCGTTCCATAGCATCTTCAAAGTAGGCTGTATAGTAAAGAACTACACTAACAGCTGTAGCAGCTACTGATGGTCTTGGTACTTGAAGAACAGCCTGTAAACCATCTTGTTCAACAAATTCTAAATAAACACAACGATGACATAAAAGATTGGCCAATAAACGTAAAGCTTCAAATGTTAAGCGAATATCACGAGAGGCAACTTCTGGCATAAGATAAGTATAAATAAGATCTAAAATGCCTCCATTGTACATGAATGGCATAAGCTAGTAAAACAAACAAAAATTTAAACAGATAGTTTTTATTTTAAAAAAAAGTGATTAAGAAAATATTAGGAAATAATAATGTTACACTTGAATAGAATGACTAACATCAGTATAACCTAGCAGTAACTGTAATTCTAAGATGTCAACTAGAAATCACTTCTGTTCTCTTAGTAGGAATAAAATACTGATTTATATATTTTTTTTTCCTTGAGAAAAGAAAAGATGTAACCTATGGCATAATAATAGATTGAAACAATAATTTCTTGTAATATAACAACACAAGGATAAACACTAGACACTTAATATCAGTGAAAAACTTGGGCACTGTGGTAGAATGTAGTTCCATATGAGATTTGTTTATTTGATATAAAGCGCACAGTGATACAGTATTATTTACTTGATTACGTTTCGAGCATAAATTATCATTGCTCATAATCATATCAATGTGTAATCATACTTCTTTCGATATCTGATTTTATAGTCCTGTCACCTGATCTCTCTTTGTTTCTTGTTTTTTGATTGGTAGTAAAGTTTTCCATATCTCTGGTATAGGTGTTGCGTCATTCCTATTACATGTGTTGGGTGTGGATTCGATGAACAAAGACTCAGTAATTAATCTCTCTCATTTACAGTGTTGAAATCGGAACATATCGACAGTTTCTTGACACACATAAACTCAGTAGTTAACGCAATCCAATTCACTTACGAAGTAGAAAATGAACAAGAAGAATTACCTATGTTGGATTGCAGAATAAAACGAAGGATAGATGGTGGTTTAGATACTAATGTCTACAGAAAACCAACACATTCTAACACGTATCTAGACTTCAAGCTATCTCATCCAGTGTCAGTTAAAGCGGGTTTAGTCAAATGTCTAAATAACAGAGCTAAGAAACTCACTAGTCATTGTAAGGACTTAAATAAGGAATTGAAACACATAAAAGAAGCGTCAATAATTAATAATTATCCCCATCATTTTCACACGGACACATAAGAAGCAAAATAATAACACTAATACAAATACAAATAATAGTGACAACATAAGTAGAAAGGAAATCAGCACCTCTATTGTGATACCATACAAGGAAGGAACATCAGAAACCATACGTAGGATTCTCAACAAGGTTGGAGTTAGGGTGGCATTTAAACCAACAAACTCACTTAGAGGTAAGCTTTGTCGGCTAAAAGATCCGATAGAACCAATTAGGCAAAATAATATAATCTACCAAATTCCATGTAATGACTGTGAAGTCAAATACATAGGTCAAACTAGCCGGTCGACGTCAGTTAGATTAACAGAACATAGGAATTTAGCTAAACATAGAACGGCAGACACCAATAAGATCAATAATCTAGAAAAACACTCGGCCATTGCATTACATTCATTAACACACAACCACACAATAGGGTGGGACAAAACCACTGTACTTAAGTCTAATATAGCTAGGTGGAGAGAGAGATTAATTACTGAATCTTTGTTCATCGAATCCACACCCAACACATGTAATAGGAATGACGCAACACCTATACCAGAGATATGGAAAACTTTACTACCAATCAAAAAACAAGAAACAAAGAGAGATCAGGTGACAGGACTATAAAATCAGATATCGAAAGAAGTGTGATTACACATTGATATGATTATGAGCAATGATAATTTATGCTCCAAACGTAATCAAGTAAATAATACTGTATCACTGTGCGCTTTATATCAAATAAACAAATCTAATATGGAACTAGGCACTTAATACTTACAATCCGGTAACATTGACAAGTGTGATGCCTTGATATTCCATCAAATAAAATACAAGGTTTCTTTTCCAAATACAATTTCTTGAGTCATCAATATCAAACCATTTGATGCTTTATGACATGAGAGAGTTTCACCATAAAGTTAAATAACAGTCAATACTAATCTCATAGGATGAGGGCGGTCTATATATCTGTTATATTCCATACTTACATTTTTTATATATTTGAACTGTTTTACTTCGCGCTCTTTTTCCCACACAAGGTCAAAGTTCACAAAACCCGCTAGCATTCTGATTGGCTCTTACCTCTCTCAAGGTTACTATAAACTTTATAAATAAACATTTTCCATTCAATTGATTATCAGTCTTTTAATTTTGTTTTATGAATCACTCAGGTTGGATTGTATCAACTCTTGATTATCAATTGTTAATTATAATCGTTTGTTCTCACAACTCTGTATCATAACATATACCATTTGGATAAGTTGGTAAACATTATCAAGTTAAATCATTGTATAAACATTCATCAAGTATGATCTTTCTGAATATCTTTATAATTTATTCGAGAGAAATTCTATGTGGTTTTATTAGCACTCAGTTATGTTTATATATTTTCTTATTTGCCATCATTCACTATTGAGTTGTTTTTACAGTGTGAAAGACAACATCAACAGAGTTGAAATTTATGCTTTAAGCTTGTCTCCATTAATCCCGTCGAACAGCAAATGATGAGTGTATTCACTTCATTCATCTGTATAACTACAAAACCTAAGTACACAATGATATATCAATGCATATATAAAAGTTTTAGTGATTTTCAAAAATTCAATCAAATGATAAAAAAATGACAGATGAAAAATTGGAACATACTACTCATTGGACTGGTTCAATAAAACTCCAAGCTACAATTAAAAACTACTGTGCTTATATAATCCTAATTTCATAATAACATTTGATACATCAGTTATATACGAATATGTGGTGCTGTTTTACAATCAGTAGACTTGATTACCAGCGACCATAGGGGTTTCCGGTTCGATGCTGGTTCAAATCCGGACGCAGTTCACATTTTCATTTCACCTTCAATCATAACCCAGTAACAATACTAGTCTGCCAAACCATGACTGTTATCTCAGATAGTCAAAATGATAATCAGTAGACATCACTCATCAAATGAAACAGTAGGAAAGATATAAAGGCAACAAAGAAATTCGTTACTTTAGTGAACCTGTGACAACACTCTTCTACCACAAATTTCGATACCCACTACTCACTTACTTTCGTATCAGTAGTCTCCCAATAGAGAAAAATTAAATATATAACAAAAACAGACAATAATTTTTCAGAATCCACTGGATAAAGCTTCAGTACACCATGAACAATAAACGTGAATTTAAACCAGTACATTCAGAAACATCTTTATTAAATCATCTTGTAAACAGGGATAAAAACCATGCCACATTCGATACAGCAAATAATGCCGATATACAAACGAGAGACCAATGTTAGCTGAAGTGGAATCAGATTGAAGAGAAAGCTAAGGATAGTCAAAGTAGAATATGATACCAGTTGACTACTTCTTTGATTAGTAATCTGAACTGTGTAAAGAAGCATAGACCACTTAGTTAAGGTGTATGAGACAAGTGAAATGAGTAATCACAGATTCTAGGTGACACAGGTTAAGTGCAGTGGAACAAACGAATTAACCCTTAATCTTGATTAAAATCATAATGTCTTACAGTTTTATTGCATTCAATCTAATTCCACTACTATTAACTCCTAATAATGTACACAAGAGAACTAGTTCAGATACCAACTCAGAAAACCACGAGCCCAGTGCTTTGGTGGAATGTATACACTGAAATGGACTAAAGTTCAACATGAGAATGTGTACCTACATCAGAATTGTCACTGGCAGACTGGTAAATCTAAATCAAAGATTTTATCACTTATAAGTGGATAACAATTAAAGCATATTGATGTAACTATCTGATTTGTACAAAGAGTAAATAAGTTCAGCCGTGTTAAATGAAGATGGATATCAACCTTCCATATAAATCCCTCTACATCTAAAGTTAGTTTGATGTTGAAATATCAAAAGGAAAAGTATGACAAATTCTCAGGTTGCTGCAAACATTTGACTTCAATGACTCCTTGAAATAAATTGTTATTCTTTCCTATGGCTTACACATGACCTTCCTTAGTTACATGTGATCGACATCGAAGTCTAAGAAATGAAAAACATTTAGCGTTAAAATTCCTCTTGGAATGACATCGGTTAGGGGGACATTGGGAATCTGGAAGCACAACACAACTCTCTCGTCCTAGTATCCAACTCCTCACCAATGCGCACCCATAACCACCACACCCACCCACCCCACCCCACCCCCTACCTCATCCCACCACGGATACAACCAACAACCTTCACCTTACACAAACAACACCTTATCACTCAACCACTCAGTCACACACACACACACACACACAATCCAATGCTCCATATTTATAACTCATGTCACTTCACCATATAACGCAACACACATACAATGTAGTCGTCCTGCACTAACCATACTCATCTTACACTTGGCTCAATCAACTCCTCACCACTTCTCATAGGAACTTCAACAGTCACCTAACAATACAAGTTAGTCAACAATCAGCCCTACATCATTTCAATTCAATTTTGAGGTTTCGTACAGATTTATTTATTCATTTCATCGACTGACATCAGTCGGAGGAATATTGGAAATCTGGGAGCACCACCGTTGGTGTGATCGTATAACTCATTCCGTAAATTTAATCAATTGTGTTAGAAGAAGAAATTTTCTGAAATAACTCGTCACACCTTATTATGGACATGTTACTGTATCAAATCATACGCCACTCCTTATCCACCCTTAACACTCACACATTGATGACTCACTCTACACCTAATAGAACCAACCAGTAGGATAATGGTAATGATACATTAGCACAAACTGTAACAATCTACATTCTACAGTCATATAGTAGAATACACAGCATTATCACTTCAACCATAACTTTCTTCGTTGTATTGTGTTCTCTCAGTTGAGTTGTTTAATCATGGAGCTTTCATCGTCATTCTACACAACATCTTCAACACTAACTTCAGGATGAAGTGAACTGTCAATATTTCTCCGTGAGTAATTTAATAGCCTGCCTTGACCAAGTGCTTTGTGATTCCTTGTTGCCTCTGATTGTTGTATCATTGACCGCATAGATGTTCCTGTTAGCTGTTCCTCTGCTTCACCTCTGACCTCTCTGTCGTTTAGCATTTTTCTTAGTGGTTCGTAGATTCAGTCTATATCTACACATTTGTTGATTGCCGATTGGTCTGAATCCCAACCTTCTAGGAATTCTCTCGTATTCTTTATGTTTCTTTTGTCCAAGATTTTTACATTCTCAAAATTGAACTTATGTCCATAATTATTCACATGCATCGAAATGAGTGATGAAATGTCGTGATGTTTAATATCCAATTGATGTTCATGTAGACAGAGATGAAGAGGGCAACCACTTTGTCCAATGTAGTGTTGACTACAGTTATTTCAGTTGATTTTGTAAATGATATTCGGTTTGTCTTCTTTGATTGTTGCATCCTTTGGTCTGCATAATAGGGTTTGGAGGGAATTTGTTGGTTTATGAATGGCCACACAAATTCCAAGTGGTCTCAGTAATCTTGTGTGATCTCTCATATATTCTTTATGTATGGTAGGATGGTTCGTTGATTGATTTCTGTCGATGACTTTGTAGGTGATGATGTACGGGATAGGCATCTTCTGATAAAGTTTCGTGGGTAGCCGTTCTTTCTTAGGATAGACATCAAGTAATTTTCTTCATTTCTCCGTGAAGTTGTTGTACTGTGGTGTGTTCTCGCTCTTTTGAATAGAGTCTGCACGCAACTGATTTTGTGTATTGTTGGGTTGTTGCTATTGTAGTTGAGAATTTGATCAGTACATATTGGCTTTCTGTACACTTAGGCTTCTAGCTTTCCGGCATCCGTTCTACTGACTAAAACATCCAGGAATGGTAGTTGGTTGTTTGACTCCTCTACTGTGAATTTGAAGTCATTGAAAACGTTGTTTATCAAAATGTGTGTTTTCTACATCATCTTTTTGAATGATGACAAAAGGGTCATCAACAGATCACTTCACAATGAAGTTAGTGCTGATGTCGTCTAGAAAGACGATGAAAGCCTCACGGTTTAACAACCCAGCTCAGAGAACACAATATAACCAAAACCATTCACCTGAGCTAGAAATACTCCTCACTATTTCAAAACCACAACTGTAAATATCGTGAATTGACAGAAGTATGAAATATGAACCATTGAATTCCGACCCAGTGGCTAGCTGCTCAATGGTAACGTGCTGGCAAGAAAACCTTGAGGTACTAGGTTCGATTTTCTGACGAGGCGGGGTCATGGGTGCGCACTGCTGAGGAGTTACATACTAGGACGAAACAGCTGTGTAGTACTCTCAGGTTTCAATCTTCTTCCAATTTATAGTCAGTCTATGATGAATTCCAACCTATAATCAATTGATAAACCTTCATAAACCTATAGATAGAATGACAAACTTTTCCAAAACTAACAGTAGTATCCAAGAGAGCAGATATTTCATCAGTAATCTTAACACTGATTAAATCTAAGACTAACCTTATCAAACTATAGGAAGAGTAAAAATAAAATCCAGTGCATAAATAAAAAAAAACCTTCTTGTGAAAAAGAAACATACATCTTGATATTCAGCCAATGGAATCAAGTAAGCAATAGATAGTCTAATCTTCATCTCAGTCTTGAGAGGATTTAAAATAAAATTTCCTAACAGATTTGTCATACCAACTTCTTGATTCGTTTGGATAGCTAAAGAAGAAAAACACACACACATACACAAAAAGAAAAGTATGAAAAATATGACAAGGGTATGTGAAAGGGGATCACAGTAATCCAACTACTACTTACCTGAAACTAATTCAGTTTTTAACTGAGATGTATAATTGAGTAGACGATTCAATACAACTGGAATCTATATTAATAATAAAATGATGATAATCATATAAAATACAAACCAATTGTATATTCTTTTGTCGAGTAATATACAATAATTCTGTATTGTCGAGAACAGAACCAAGAAGAAATAAGGCATAACAATTCGTTGGCTCCACTTCACTTAATGCTAACTTGTACAATGTGTTAATTGTTAAGTCCTAAATAAATAAGTAATTGATTTTTTAAAAAAAAATTCACTTCAGCATACTTCTTCATCCAGTGTGAATGATAGAGTGACACCTAATCTCATTGTACAGAGTAATCGTGATGCAGCAATTACAAGTTCATTGGATGGATCATTTGAACCAACTAAATAAACATATGTTAAACGCTCTAGAAATGATTCATGTGTTGATAGAAGACGTAATATCTGGCCTAAATCACAACTAGAATCTGTTCTTAATGGATGACGATCATCGAATGGATCTGGATCAGTACTGAAGAATAAGTTGATTTGTTCTTCAAGTAGTTCTGAAAAACTGATTACAATAGAGTGATATCATAAACAATTCAAGTTATTTACTTATTTAAAAGGGGGACAGGATTAAATGTTGGTGAATTACGATCAGATTTCCATCGAGACATAAGTTCTTCACATCGTTGAATAGCAGTTCTTCCTTCATTCATTGTGAAAATTGTTTACTATAAATCTGAAAATACACATAACTGGATAGTTAATTGACATAATAGGCATAAATAAACAATAAACATGAAGGGGAAAAACGAAACAAATTAAACTATCGCAACATAGCTGAATATAATAAACAGAATTTATAAACAAACAAAAAAAACAATTTAAAGTTACATAGAAGGTAACCAGTTAGACGCGTACAATACTAAATAAGCTACTTCTATTGTCTGACACTTAACGATGCCATTTGATTATCTAAACCTCATTTATGTAGACATAGTTTGGAGATTCTAACCCAATGGCTGAAAGCCAAAAGCCTAATGGAAAAACACTACACTACGGAAATGAACGCCAAACGACAAGTTTACAGGCTTGTTACTAGCATATTTCCCAGTCACATACTTCCGATCATAAATTTACTGTAAACGGACTAGTCAATGTAATTTCAATCATAAAAAACATACTTGACCTTCAGTGATATTATAGTTAGTGTAATTTCTGTTTTCCCTTTAGTAGACCAGCATTGTGCTACTAGTGAAGTCTGAATGTTTCTGATGATTGTAGAGAAAACCGTATCATTTCAACTTTTAACGGAGATGGACATCTACCTTGAAATGATGGTTAACCCTAATAGGCCCAATGACAATAGCAAGTCGATTGATGACCTTGTGTACCTTCCTCGACTGAGGTGGTTTGGATATGTGTTGCACATGCCGAGTCACCACCTACCTCAACATACCATGCTAGGGGAAGCTGAATTAGGTTAGATGAGGTATCAGATTGTCCAGACCAAGACGTAGCACCAGTCCATAAAGTCTCTGACGCTTGCTCTGAGCTGGGACTGGGATCCCGAAGACGATAGGAATCATTGAGTGAGGACTCTTGGCGATATGGTTGAAAATCAGTCACAGTGACACAGACGTATTCACTCTCTGATATCTTCTAAAGCTCGAACATTCGCGCTAACCTCTATCTTCAAACTGCTGATTTTCTCACACAACTGCCTACTTCGATATCACTTTTTTATTCACCTGTTTTTGGTATACTACTGTGGTGTGGGGCAACATGAGCCGATGCACTTGTGTGCGAGGTTCTACGTTGATTTTATCTCTGTCTGTCTGTCCACTGCAATGGCTTGCTCCAACTATACCGCTTGAAATCATTGTTTCTTGAGGTTACACCCCATGTCAAACAGGTCAGTTGGAAAGTAGTAGAAGTAAAAGCAACAACTGTCAGTGCAGATAGTTGCACTATGATAGGCGTATGACAACAAAGTCATACTACTACTGGTGGTTGGCCAACAATATGACAACAGTAACGTGTTTCCTTCAAATGACGGGCAGTGCTAATGACCTCATTCTAAACAAGACAGATTAGACAGTCAATTAGAAATGAAACAGAGCTAAGCATAATTGTATATTACATTTCGCATGAGTACTGTTGTGAGTAACAGTATTGTAAGAATGTGAGTAGAGAAAAGAAAAAACAACAGAATGATCAGAGGAGAAGCAGAAGCTCAAAATCTTTTCCAAAAATTTTCATTACTCCACTTTTACTTTTCAAAAATAAAGCGGAACTACAACGCAACCCTAATGGTTTGGATTCTGAGCCACATATGACAGCGATTAAAACCGCTAAGTTCAACGATACTATGAAAAGTTGTAATGAGCTAACAGATACTAAACTAACATAACTACCACTAACCCGTGACCATAGAGTGGTCCAACTAAGATGTGGCACCAGTCCATGAAGTCTGACTCTGTGTCTCAGTCATGTGGGGAGATGTACACTACCTGTGGTTTGGGTCCTCGTGGTCGTAGGAATCAGTGATTAAGGACTCTTGTTGGCATACCTAAAACTTGGTCACAATGAAGCAGATGTATTCGCTCTTTGACGTCCTTCAAAGACTAAATATTTGCATTAACCTTTACCTCCAATTTGATTATTCTGTCATACACTTTTGCCTCGTTTGATATCATTCTTTTCCTACTCACTTGTTCTTTGCATGCTACTATGAAGTATGACAGCTTGAACCGATGCACTCCTTTGTGAGGTTCTACACTGACTTTGTCTACTTTTTTTCTATCTATCATGGCCATAGACTCTTCAATTCTCCACCTCTTTCAACCAAAACCCCAGGCAACAAACGAAGATACGTGTGGAAGTGGTGCACGATGGCTAAAACATGCTCAAGTTATCGTAGCTGACTCTTCAAAATGACCTCAATAATTGTGATCTCCGTTACTAACCAATGAAAACCAACTAACATCAAAATTTCTGACACCGTGTTGCAACTACACACGAACAATTTTAAGGGGAAAGCAGTTTTCAAAAGCAAAGTCGTTGAAGATTTGCAGTTCATTCATTTGTCTCAAAGGCGTAAAACAGTGTCTATGTCGCAGTGCTGGGACGACCTTATCTATTAGATTAACATTGCAACGGTGCTAGACATGACCCAGATTGGTAGCCATGTAAATACTAATCTTATCTGTCACACCACCATAAAAAAATGACTATCCAAGTATTGTGGGATTTTACCTTACAGCAAGCAGGTCCGAAACCCACTCCATTCACCAACATTTCGGTGGCCTATGAGTGTCGTCTTTTCAAACGATGGGTGTGACTTAGTATCTATTACACAAAACTGCAAGTAGCCACTGATTTGCACTGATTAGTGTTGAAATGCACTTAGCAACCATATGTATGTTCCTGAAGTAGGTAATGAACAGCACATATCTGTCTTGTAAGGGCTCTTGATACTATCTGGCAGTCCCGACCTCAGTAACTGGAGCGGCGTTTGAATGCCTAACTCATCAGCTGAAAGCCAAGTGCCTAGACCAGTGACCCACAGCTCCACAACTGATTAGTGTAAGGATAACCAGAAGAGTGGACACTTTTATCAGTCCTGCACCTAGACGGTACGAGACAATGCTTATGAACAGTTTTCATCCTTACGTTTTAATGTTGTTGCTTGGGTAGTACATATGCAACATGATCAATTTAATCATACTGAACTACTTAGGACAACAATTTTACTATTAAAAAGAAAGATGAGTTAAGCCCACACCTAAGTACGCTCAAAGTCCAGCCAAATTAATTCAGGAAAAGTAGGATTTCTATGTCTACACATCGGTGGTTTACCGTGTTATCTTTAGTTTGTCACTAAAACAAGATTAGGAAAAACCAGCCAGTCTCGACAGATGCATGAGAGCATATGCCAAGTTACAAGCGCAACACAACAACAGATAGGTATGTTAACGAAAAAAACCATTAAGAAGTGCATCAGTTTTGTTTGCCAAGATTTATGACAGCGCAAAAAGAGTGGAAAAAAAGACGATACTGAATAAAGAGAAAACATATGAAAGCAGAATGAATCGATTGTCAACAAAATGGTGGAATTTAGATGATAGAGAGTGAACATATCTATATCAGTTTTTGTTTTAAATTTATGCTACTGAAGGCTTCTTATCACCAACTTCTAAAATCTTGAAGGCCTTAGTAAGAAAGCGTGTGCTTTCCGATGCAGCTCGAGCAAACAGTTCTGGATTTAATGAATTAGTATTACGCCGAGTATTACCATTACCTCACCTAACATTGATTATCAAGTAAGACAGTGAGTTGGTATATGTAACACATCCCGAACAACTTCATCAATTGTATTCTTTTCTTCGCCTAGCTTCAGAACTGTTCACCTAGTCGCTCCAATACATATGAAAAAAGCTGTAAAGAAATCCACGGTCAAATACCTGTAACTTTCAAACGTTTTCATGTTCAACGTCCAAAGTGAACTCATAAGGGCTGTCTGCTCTGAAGAAAAATCTGGATATATTTAGCAAGGATTTCAACCTTGTCGAAGGCCCATGATGGAACACTAAGACAGACTTCCTAACTTAATAAGGCTGAAGCTCGCATGAACTCGTGTAGGTAAAGCACTAAGTTGTAAAGTGAGAAGCCCACAACTTGATTGGGTACTAGTCATTAGTCGACTATGCGCTGTCCAACCTAACATCTGTAAGAACTAGAAAAGACTACGACACTCATCAATGCATATTTTTAATCTCTGTTTATGCCCTGACAGGGGTCAGATTACGAAAGCGATGAGTTCTACTAAGAGATACCAAGTGTTTACTGGTTCTCAGGATTACTTAATTTTTCAAACCACTGGGGTTACAGCATCGCGAGAACTCGCATCTGGTGGCATTTATTTCACGTCTAAGTCTTGCTCGCATGACCCGCTGATACCTGCTAAGTATAACTAACCTTAGAATATAATTACGAATGATCGTGAACAAATGTGAGTGTGAAGTTGATCAAGTAACACTGAGTTACTTGCAAGCTGTTGAGTTAAACAGACAAGCTGCCCAACCGGTAGCCGCTACCTTGATGTGGTAGTCGGACTTACATATCGCAATGACCCAACAAGCTGCACTAGTCGGGACGCTTGTTCCCTCGAGGTACAACCATACCACATAGGTAAGTTGAATGGTGATAAGATAAAAAGCAGTTACCGTCAGTGTTAAACACTACGCTATGATGAGGGTTACAGAGCGAAGTTGTACTGCTGAATGGATATTCCCGCGGATAACCAGCAGTACCATGCTGATGCTGCCTTTCCCGTGGGAAGGGGGCTTACAAAAAGTCAGCGACAAAAGCACACTTCCTTCTACCCCATAGCATACAGATGCCGGCGATATAGATTTATGGTCGGATTCAAAACTAACAAACCTCAAACTTCTAAATATCGTCGTATTTGACCTGCCTCAAACAGATGTTCTACAGTCTCTGCGGTCACGTACTAACCCTTCTTTTTCAGGTACCTCAAGAAGAATTAGCCCTCCACAGAGTGGGCAGCCAAGAAGTGTTGACCACCCACACGCTTCCAAGTGCATCCAACCATAGTACACCATCTTTACCTTTGTCTCCTTCTTCGCCTCCTCTTCTTGATACCAATATTAAACCTTTTACAATTTCCCCAACCTTTAACTCTGCATCCACCACCAACGAGCCAAGCCACCGAAA